ACCCCTGGCTTGCATTCTCATCCACACTTTATGCTAAGACTGAAGCAGATTCCTCAATATATACAGATATGACCAGTAAAATTCCACCTGTATGACATTAAAGGGATCACACTGAGGAAAAACCCTCCCTTCGTTGAAATAAGAGTTTAATTAGGGCTGGGCAATACGGCAATATATCGTTATCATGATAAATTATATCACAGTACAATACGATGTGCTTTTCTGAACATATTGTGTTTATCGTCAGTACTTGTAGACACTGACCAACTGCATGTTTCATCATAGAGAGCAAAATTAGTCCTGTTTAACAGGATTTAGGTCCAAATACTGAATAAAAATCAATGTTTTCACAGTTTTTGATTGTATTTTTATCGCCCAAGTCCAATCCAGCATGTAAACACCATTAAAGTTTCAAAGACAAACTGTTCATTCTTCAGTGAATATACAGGAACTAAGCTGCAGACGCCGTCTGCTCTCAATTCTTTGTTTTGTGCAATGTAGGGCTGAACGATTCTGGCATAATATCTAATTACAATTTTGTCTGACCAGTGTTGCGATTTCAATTTAAATTGCGATTGTTTGCTATAAACTGTTTTAGGTAAACTGAGGTATGAGCCTTTTTTGTGGCTAAGAAGATCAGCGCATACTTTTTCTGGCTTGAGGGGTTGAACTTGGACGAATGACTGGACAAACTGAACGAATGATTAGTCAAATTCATCTAAAAGCAGTTCACAAGCCCAATGTAAATCAGTCACTTAAAACTTGCAATGTATCCATGGCGAATATGATAAAGACTGAAGCTTTTGCGATCTGAAAATTGCACTCGATTTCGATATAAAAATGATCGCTCAGCGTCGTGTTCTCACGAAAACTACACATTTACATATATCCACCCACTCAGCCTACAACAGTTCAGCCACACACACTGACACTGAGGTTTCAGTGTTTCAGCCCAGGTTGCTTTTTGAAAGAGGCAGCAGAGGTCATTTGCATATCGCTGTTGTCGGAAGAAAACCTCGTATCTCCAAAATGGTAACTTTACAGGAAAAGGAAAAAACCTACTTTACTTTTAATGGAAGTCAATGGAACCAGAATTTTTGGGTCGCTTCTTTAAGTCCACTCACCATGAAATGTACACACAATGTAAAGGGCAATAGGTATTTTCAAATTATGTCAAAAACGGAGATGCAAGGTTTTCTTCCGACAACAGCGATTATATCAGTATTAAAGGCACAGTAACAGAAACAGTTCATTCTAAGGGATGAAGAGAAGTTTAAAAACGGTCACATAAAAATAAATTTCTGGTTTTGATGCATAAAAATAAGGCAAATGTTACAAGTCGAAAAATGTAAACGCTCTGTAAGTTAACGTTCAATAACCCACTAAGCCCAGCGAGCGCTTCGGTCTGAGCACCTACCAAAAGCCACAACAAACGATACCACTGTAATATAAATAGACAGTTTGTACTTTAGTTTTGACTTAGATGTCAATGCCAGCCTGAAGAACTGACTCATCACATGAAGCGGTGACCACATTTGTTTATGTTAGTGTCAAGGCCACATTATTTCTCCATGACTGACCTGCAGGCCTTTCAACAGGCTTCCCTTCAAGGCTGACCTTCTTCCACAACTGCAACAGTGACTTTTACAGGGGAATTCCACCTGTTTTTAAAATTTCAGAGTGGTTTGGTGTGAAATGGTTCCGATGTCTTTACAGTGGTGGTGATAGGAACCAGGGGTCGCCATGACTACAACACAAATATGGCCATTGGAGTCTATTTTGCCTCAAAACACATGTATTTCTCTCAGGCAGTGAATTCATAAGGATTTTATGTAATAGTTTAATCTGATGCAGGCATTAAACACTTCAGACGTCTGGTTCCTATCACCACCACTGTGAACGATTCTGACTCGGTAAGTTTCTCTAGAACAGAGCGTTTCACACCAAACCACTCTGAATGACTCTGTTTACATCTCAACCATTTAGTTACGGAGAACATTTGGTGGAATTCCCCTAATATTCTGATAATGAAGCGGGATGTTCTCCAACAGCTGTGCTATTATTTCTACCCTGAGGTAAAACCTGCTAAAGAACACAATGCACATAATCTCAGCAGCCAAAGCTCACCTGGGACTATTTTATGGGGCAATTAAATGTCTCGGTAGTGATGTGTTTCTATACATCACTGCTTTCCACTTTCTGCCTTCTCAAGCTGAGGATTACTGGCACCTGAAGCTAGTACTGCCGGAAAATCAGCTATCAAGCAGGGCAGGGCAAGGTGACAATATTTATCGTTATTGCGGTAAAGTGTGTCACAATATCACAGACGTAGTCTTAAAAAAAACACTTCCCAACTGAATGTTTGATGGCAAAAACAACATAAATACACCTCTTTACTGTATTACAGTAACTCCTTTGTAACATAATGCTTAATGCACAAATACACAGAAGTTAAATGTTTACAAATGTTCACATTATTCCATAATATTTTATAAATAATAGTTTTTGTAGTATATTTTAGAGCATATGTCCACTCACACCTGCACATGTGCATTCATATCTGCATATGTACTCATCTCTTTAGCTCCTTTCAGACTGACTCCTTTTTATTCTCTACTCTATTTACTGGATTTTTATTTTATTTTTCCCTTAATTAAATACTTGTTAACGGTCTGTGTTCTTGTGTGCTGTCACCAAAACTAATTCCTTGTATGTGTAACTTAATAAAATGCTACAAAATACTAATTTTGACTCTAATTGGTCATGTTCAACTAAATTGAGTGTTGTGCAGTGTGTGAAATGTTCGTTTTCATTAGTTTTTTTAAATGTTGTGCTACTTTGTCTTTTCCAACTTACTATAAATCAGAAAAAATACACTGTGACATACAGAATACTTTCAAAACTTTTTGAAATACCAAGGTAATAATTTCATAACGCCCAGTTCTACCATCATGGGTAAATAAAGATTTATGCTAAAAACAATGAGTTAATACATTATAACACTAAGGACGCACTAATCAATCATTTTTATCGCCGCATTCTTGACAACCAAACTGACTGACTGTTACTTTTATTATCCTACATTTTAAACCAAAGCTTAATTATAAATAACATTATTTGTTTTTTTAGTGGGCCAAACTGGCATTTTAAACACTTTAATGAAAAATCAGTTGCCTTTTTAAACAAGACGAATCCACTGAAGTGCTGTATTGAAAGTACTGACTGGCTATTTATAGCACTGAGTCATGTATAATTATGCTGTGATGTTTTGGTTCAGGTGTAGCAGCGTTTACAGACAGCATGAGTGTTCTTACCTGCCTCACCTTATTCACCTCAAAATATAAAAACAATCCACACACACACACACACACACACACACACACACACACACACCGATCAGCCATCATCATTGTTTCTACCCTCACTGTTTATCAGCTCCACTTACTATATAGGTGCACTTTGTAGTTCTACAGTTACAGACTGTAGTCCATCTGTTTCTCTGATACTTTGTTAGCCCCCTTTTACCCTGTTCTTCAGTGGTCAGGACCCCCATGGACCCTCACAGGGCAGGTACTATTTGGGTGGTGGGTCATTCTCAGCACTGCAGTAACACTGACGTGGTGGTGGTCGTGTGTTAGTGTGCTGTGCTGGTGCGAGTGGATCAGACACAGCAGTGCTGCTCGAGTTTTTAAACCCTGTGTCCACTCACTGTCCACTCTATTAGACACTCCTACCTTGTCCGTCCACCTTGTAGATGTAAAGTCAGAGACGATAGCTCATCTGCTGCTGCACAGTTTGTGTTGGTCATCCTCTAGTCCTTCATCAGTGGTCACAGGACGCTGTTGGCTGGATATTTTTGGTTCTCAGTCCAGCAACAACACTGAGGTACTGCTGTGTCTGATCCACTCGGACCAGCACAACACACACTAACACACCACCACCATGTCAGTGTCACTGCAGTGCTGAGAATGACCCACCACCCAAATAGTACCCGCTCTGTGAGGGTCCGTGGGGGTCCTGACCACTGAAGAACAGGGTAACAAAGTGTGCAGAGAAACAGATGGACTACAGTCTGTAACTGTAGAACTACAGAGTGAAACTATATGGTCAGTGGAGCTGATATGATGGACAATGAGATATAAGGCAGTAGACATATGTTTCTGTTTGGCTTATATATTACATGAATTTCAGAATCTCAGTATTCTGTAAGCCCCTCTTTATCTTAATGACTGTGTGTCAGCTGAACAATGGCTGTGAGCTGATTAACATAAAAAAGCCTCTGATCAGAAGATCAAATCCACCCGAGTCGTCTGAACATGAGCTTCAATGAAAGAGATAAAAATAGTAATAATAATAAAAAATGGACCTTTTTGTACAAAAGTCTCAGCATGGTCAATTTCACAAATTTGAACAGCGACTGAGAAATAGTACAGAATCATAAATACATTATTTTTCATTTTACTTTTCTTTGTTGTGATATTTCAAAATTCTAAAATGTAGTTTATTTCCAGATTTAAACTAAATAAAAATCCCAGATTTTTAACATAGTCTCAGACTTTTGGACCCCACTGAACCACAAAATGAAGCTCAAGCTCAAATCAAAAGATTTTCAATTCTGATTATTTTAAAGCAAACAACAGCTGATAACGCTGTAAGTAAAGACAATGGTTCTATATTAAACCATGAACACTCAAAGAACCATTTGCATGCTTAAATGGTTCTTTGCATGGTGAAATCGTTCTTCAGATTGATGGGGAATGTGTTGCACATGGTTCTACATACATCATACCCTTTTTGATACTGTATGGAACCATATACAACACATTCTCCATCAATCTGAAGAACAATTTCTCCATGCAGAGAACCACTTAAGCATGCAAATGGTTCTTCGAGTGTTCATGGTTCTATATAGAGCCACTGTCTTTACAAAACAGCCCTAAAGAAGGATCTTTAGAAGTGCACCTCGTGCAGGTTGTGTATGTGCATGAAGGAGAACTGACCGCTGCTGTAGGCGTAAGGCGACTCAGCAGATCCGTCCTGCAGGCTGTCCAGTATCTCTCCTTTCCCCACATCGCTGTCCCCCACCAGCAGGAACTTCAGCAGGTAGTCGTAGCTCTTCACAGGGCTGCCCTGAGTGCCCATCCTCGCTCGCATCAGAGCAACTCACAGCAGTTTAATGCTGTTACTATGCGCTTTTTCTGAAGCCAAAAGCTGGACCCGTCCTGCGTAACCGAATATTCGGTGATTAATCGAGTCCCAGGCTCGAGTACGGCCAGTTCAAGAAGACCGAATGTGGCAAATATTTAGCCAGCTGGTTTTGTGTAGTCACTCTGACCAGTTCAACCAGTTAATATTCGCTGCCCGGGCGAATATTCGACCCGAACAGTCCGATTAAGAGCCCCTGGCTCGTCTCCAGCCAGTTAAAAAAGATCAGCCGTCGCGAATATTTAGCCAGCTGGTTTGGTGTAACGTTGCTTTGACCAGTTACAAGCCAAAAAAGTTCAGCTCGGACAAATACGTCGACTAAAAAACCTGAAGTTTCTTTATGCTAGCAGTTTGGAGCATACTAGGTTAGCTACCCTTCGGCTTGATCGCATACACAGCCAGCTTAATTAGTTATTCAATCATCAAATGCTTAATGTGAGTCCTCAAATTAAACAAAATAAACCAGCTGTCTTTATACGACATAAAACTCCTTTAATCGACCAGCGCTTGGCTACTTTGCCAGCTAGCGTTAGCTCGCGAAGCAGGCTCGATAGACTACATCATTGTTAGCTTAGCGTCAGCGAAACCCGCCGAACTCAAAACAAAGAGAGGCTTTTTTAAAAAACGCGACTTATAAAGAGTAGCTACAAATCAGGCATTATTGTGAGAGAACAAGATACGAGATGTGAAAGTACAAGATTTGTTTACGGGCTGCGGCGGAACCAGAACAACAGCTTCGCAGGTTCGCCGAGCTAAGCTAAGCTAAGCTAAGGCTAAGCTAAGCTAAGCTAGCTGTCAGGTGCCATGTCAAACGAACAGCTGGCTTTAGTATCTTCAGCACGGCGCCCAGAAGTTCTGCTGCTTTCCTTTCCAGCAGGAAGAAGATAGGCTGAACGTTAAATTGGCCCGTTTAGCTCGGGGTTCGGTCAGCTAACGCAGGCTAGCCGGACCTCCTGGAAGGCCCGTCGTCTTCTTCTTCCACACAACAAAGATTCGCAGCTTCGCTCCGCTCGTCCTGAAGCTGCATGTCCACGAGTTGCTGCGCGGTGGTTCGGGTTCGGGTTCGGGTGGTACGAGTGTGAGAAATCCGCCAGTACACTCCCCGTTTCTGCTGTGTTGGTGTTAGTAAGAGCTCCTGAGTGTGTGCGGGTCTGTCTCCATGCTCTGCTCCGCTCCGTCTCTGTCTGCACTGTCACTGAGAGCTCCCTCGCTCCATCCAGCCCACCAAAACAAACCCCACCTTCATCTGCTCAGGGCGCTCAGCACGGCTGGCAACGTGCCCAAACCTGAACTGTAGCCTAGAAATAGTGCAGAATCATCAGCACTTCTTTTACATTTGACTTTTCTTTCTTGTCATTTGTGTAAAAGTGTAAAATGTTTTGTTGTTTATTTCCAGTATATATATATATATATATATATATATATATATATATATATATATATGTATATACTGGAAATATTTAATGTAAAGTTTTGTTAATACGTGTTCTATTCAGTCCAAGTTGCATTTTATACATTATTATACAGTATGTGTGTGTATATATATATATGTGTGTGTGTGTGTGTGTGTCCATCTACCTACCTATCAATCTATCCATCCATCCATCCATCCTATCTATCTCTGTATCAATCCGCCCATACACACACACACACACATTATTTATATATATATATATATATATATATATATATATATATATATATATATATATATATACTGGAAATAAACAAAACATTTTACACATTTTACACTGATCAATTCTTCATGAAATTTACACAATATAAAGGCCAACAGGTATTTACAAATGATGTCAAAAACTGAAAAACGACAAATGTGGAGATACGAGGTTTTCTTCTCACAGCAGCGATATATATATATATATATAGGTATGTGTGTATATATATTTGTACACACACACGTACATATTTTGTATTAGGTTGTTTGCATGGGGCTAACATATTAGTTTGTGGCTAGCACATCAGATCTGGAGCAAAGCCAGCTCCTTTTTAATTCAGATATATTTGTTAATGTTGTTTAAAGTTGAATTCTCTAATAAACTGAAAAAGGAAACAACAAAGATGACCATTTACAGTTGCTGTATCTGAACGCTCGTCTGAGGTGCTTAAGCACTTTATCACTCTCCACCACTGAGAAACAACAATTAATCAGTCTTTCTGTTAGGGATGCACAGAGACATCAGAATCATATCTGGAACAGAAGACATTTATATTTTTTATTTAATTTTTTTTTTATATTGATGTTTTAGACTTATTTACATGTTTTAATCTGAGTATAAAGGTCCTATATAAATATCTGAGTATGAAAGGTGATATATAAATAAAGTTTCCTCTTCTTCTTATTATTATTATTACTATTATAATTCAAAACAGATGAAATCAAACAGATGCTTAGGTGATATTCCAAACTGATCTATCTATATGTATCTATCCACATATCTATTGATGTATCTACATATCTATCCATCCATCCATCTACCTATCTGTCCATCCATCCGCATATCTATTGATCAATCTACATATCTATCTATCCATCTATGATGATTAATGTGTTAGAAAAGCTGCACTGGTTGTACATTTTCATTGTTGAGTTCTGTTATAACTACATTATACAGCTCTGTTGTTCTGCTATAACAGACGGAGCAGCTTTAGTCACAAACACAAACATCTGACAGCACACATTTAAAAAAGACTCACAAACTCTATTTTCGTCCATTACTGGGAGCTGTTTACATGACAGCTGTAGAGGGGTTAAGAGGCCAGCGAGAGGCCGGAGGTCCCGGCACTTTGAGGGAAACATTAAAGGATAATCCCCCTCCCCCCTCCCCCCAGAACAGATTAAAATGCAAATTGGTGTATAAAGTCTTTGTGCCTACATGTCTAGATTAGAGCAACGTGAGGATCTCATGGGATGCAGGGGGACATCTGGACCCTCCGCAGCGTTCTGTACAAGCTATAAAAAACACAAACCTCTCTCTGTTTCTAACAAACAGTCCAATCAGTTAGAGCATAATGGATTTCAATTGCAGCGTATTACCCATCTCCAAATCATAATTTTCATGAAATACGAGTATATAATTAAATATTACACCTGGAAAAATACAACTGCATCTGACCTGTGTTATTACAATCCATTAGCTAAACCAACAAGGACAGATGTGCCATGGAAACAGTGTAATCTATTTAGCATAAATCGCGTAGGAATGAAAGGCACCTGAAAACTCTATACCAACAGCCTGCGTTTGCCCTTTAAACCTGCCTGAAGGTGAACGAGCCTCTGTGGGATTGTCTGTATGCTCACATTCTGTTAACTGTAAATGCAAACACAAGCAAATAAATGAGAGCAGAACAATACAGAGAGGGCAAACAAGTATTCAAACACTTTAGTTTGTGTTCTTAAATATTTAAGATTAAAATTCAGCTTAATTAAATGGTTGAGATGTAAACAACGTGGTTCAGAGTGGTTCAGAGTGGTTTGGTGTGAAACGCTCTGTTCTAGAGAAACTTACTGAGTCAGAATTGTGACAGTGGTGGTGATAGGAACCAGACGTCCACCTCTAAAAGCTCCCTCACAGAAAGTTACTATACGAAATGGTTATGAATTCACTGCCTGATGACTGAGACACTGTTTTATGATAGTTCTGAGAAGATTTTGGCCTTAAACTCCATTCATGGTGGAGGGATACATATTATGCAGGGCGCTGTGAGGCAAAATAGTCCCCAAAGAAAACTTATTATTTCAGATTTTCCACTATTTTCCATCATCAACATTCCATATAAACTCAGAAGACTCGTGTTGGTTCACTGGTGGTTCTGGATAGTAAATAAAATGTCTATATTTGTGTTGTAGTCATGGCGACCCCTGGTTCCTATCACCACCACTGTAAAGGAAAAAACAATCAGGAGTCAGTAAACTTCCCTGCAAGGCACCAATTCACACCACATTTACAGATTTTCTTTTGACTGTACTTGTAGAGCTTAATAGAGCTGAGCCAAGAGAGGCCGTGGGTTATTGCAACTTTATCTGGGGAAGGATGTTCTTTGGCCCGACGCGAACCGCAGTAACCCACTGCCTCGAGTGGTTTATTGCTTTTATAAAACGCCATCCAACATTAAATATATCAAATGCACAGTATTTTAGATAATTATTATTAATAATAACCAACATAAACAAGTATTCCGCCAAGAAATGTAGTTCCTTTAGAGTATGGTATCGTTGCTAAGCAACCATTGACCGCTAAATGAGAAGAAGAACATTCGGTCCGTTTTAAGTATGAACAAAGGAATGTCAGTATATTTCAAATGAAAGTAATGGCCAAATACTGTTAGATGAAAAACACTGACCAAGTGTAAGAGACCATTTTAAGGCAAATATGAATCAAAAGGGGATTTATTAAGAGTTCTCTTGATGATTAACAACATATAAATGCACAATCAGATCATTTTAGCTGGATTAATAATACTGATTCACTGATTACCACAGCTACACAACAACTACAATTAAACAGTGATTGGCACACAGGTCAGTGCAGTGACCATCAAAATTCAGTCTAGTTTCTTATTTAACAGGGATTTCAGATGTGACAATGTTTAAAAAGGCCTAAACAACATTATATGTGCAGCTTTACCCAAAAACCCTGTACACAAATGATACTGTGACCACATACGAATGGGACATTTGTCAAAATTAACCAAATGACTCGATGGCTTCGCTAATTATTTTGAAAAATGGCACATTTATCATCATCAGAAGATGTAGAAACTATGCTGACACTACAAAGTTAGTCAATGATCAATCATTAATATTAATCTGCGTAATAATTAAAAAAATAATCATGATCTCAACATTTACGTGAACTTATTTCTATACAGGATTAAAAAAGCAACTAAGACTCAGCAAAGCTTGAGTTGAAATACCTGAAGAAGAGAGGAATCCACCCTTTAGACAGCTTCACTTATCAAACCTCTTTTAAAGGAGAATTCCACTAGTTTGCATAATTACATGACTAAGGTGAAGCCATTCAGAGTGGTTTGGTGTGAAATGCTCCGTTCTAGAGTCAGAACTGTTCACAGTGGTGGTGATAGGAACCAGACGTCCACCTCTAAAAGCTCCCTCACAGAAAGTTACTACACGAAATGGTTATGAATTCACTGCCTGATGACTGAGACGCTGTTTTATGATAGTTCTGAGAAGATTTTGGCCTTAAACTCCATTCATGGTGGAGGGATACATATTATGCAGGGCGCTGTGAGGCAAAATAGTCCCCAAAGAAAACGTATTATTTCAGATTTTCCACTATTTTCCATCATCAACATTCCATATAAACTCAGAAGACTCGTGTAGGTTCACTGGTGGTTCTGGATAGTAAATAAAATGTCTATATTTGTGTTGTAGTCATGGCGACCTCTGGTTCCTATCACCACCACTGTAAAGACATCTGAACCATTTCACACCAAACCACTCTGAATGAATCTGACCACTGAATTATGCAGACCTTCTGAAAAATAAGTGGGATTTCCCTTCAATCCTCTGCCACTACACCACCAGGCAATGAATGAAAGCACCCCAGTATCTCTGAGTGGCTGTGGGTGGCTTTCTGGCCATGCTGTCTGCCCAAGTGGGGGTTTCAGCTGTGCCTTTTGCTGCTTCAGTCTGTCTTGGTGCTCTTTTGCCTCCAGGGGTAAATGAGCTCGCCTACGAAAAGCTTTTTGCACAGGGCGGCCCACGAGTCCCTGGGGTAGCAGCTGTAGGTGGGTGTCCGGTAGCACTGGAGCACAGAGCTGAATTTCAGAGGGTTTATCTAAAGAGGGAGGAAACAGAGATTAAAATAAATACATAAAACTTAGATATGACACCAAAATCTGATTGAGAAGCTGGTCACACTTTATTTGGACAGTCCCCTATAGTTGACCTACAGATATTTAAATTATTAACAGACTTTCTGGTGATGCTCAGTTGAGGATCAACCACATTATGTTTAAGTTTAGGGTTTAGGGTTTGATTTAACAAAATCTTTCACACCTTTTCACCCTCAACTCAACTAGTTGCATTTAATAGATATTCAGTTGAATGTTACTTATAGATGGACTGAGCATCTACAAAGTATCTACTGTGGACCATCATGTTAAATAGTTACAGAGAAGCCTCCATACATGTTATTTGTGATTACAAATAATAATGGAATATCTGGTTGTACAATAACTATCATTCTGCTGAGCTAAGAAATGACTTGCGCTGCAGCCAACCGTTACTACTTTAGCACATACAAGAACAGAAAATGGACACATTAAGAAAAATCCGGCTCCGTGCCCCCATGAGCGTCACCAAGGGCGACACTGTGTTTATTTCTTGCTCTACTCAACAATCTGATGGAAAATCTCTGTCTACACGCTCACTACAAGTAATCAGACCCAAAATTACCCACATGCGTAGAGAACCGCTTAGTGTAGATGTTTTCAGTGAGCAGCGCTTGTGTTTTTATTTGCTTTAAAATGATGTCAGACTCAGGAAAACGTCCTTCACATGTCCTTATTAAAGAAGGCCGAGAGGAGGACGTCGTGTTCTGAGACACATAAGCTGGACGTCCGTCCCACCGCCGTCTTTTAAATATCAGAGCATAAACTTCGTCTCCTCTGCAGACCAGTTTCTGCTCCGCCATGTTGAATGGTATAAACTCTCACTATGACGCGACGAACATGATCAGAACGGACTTAAACTTTCCGATAGGGAATGTAATCAGATACAGGCGTTTACACGGATATTATTCTTCTATTTAACGGATTATTTACAGGATTACCCACCTCGATCAGTCGGATAGAAACTGTATTCTGAATGGCCTCAATTGGACTAGAATATTCTGACTGAGGTGTTTACATGGACGCATTCTATTTCGATTGATTTCGGATTATTAACTGATTATTAGGCTGAATGTAAACGTGGCTAGTGGCAAGGAAAAACTCCCTAAGAGTAAGAGGAAGAAACCTTGAGAGGAACCAAGACGCAAATGGGGAACCCATCCTCCTCTGGTTGTAAAAACAGTAAAATATCTGGTTTGTTGTTGTCCGTCTACCCCAAACACTTGAACACAGCATAAGCATAAGTGAGCTTTTCAGTCGGCAGCTGTGATAGAACAACTAAACAAACTGGAATCAGCCAAAACCAACAGAATACAATTCAGGAAACAAGACATGGGCTGTGAAACGCTTTACAGACTGACTGGAACTAAACCACATTCAGCTTCATCTGGAAAGCACAGTTTTATGGCTCCATCAGGCAAAAGGGGTCTATTTTTTTCGGCGGAAGGAATCACCGTTATTAAAGTACTTTTGTTACAATATTCAGGGCTTATTCACTTTACTTTGTTCTTTATTTTGCTGTCATATAAAAGCGGTAATTAGCGTCGTATATTATCAATTGATATGTTGTCGCTTCTGGAACAAAATCACATAACTTTAAAATCGTAACTTTACAGAAAAAGCAAACTTTTAATGTATGAGATTTCTTCCTAATTCATTTTGGGCCATTTCTCTTTGACACAGTGTAAAATGCAATTTTTGGAATATTTCTTTTCTGTTCCTTTTTTTTCCTTTTTTATTGTTCAGTAAAGTTCATTTTAAGCTCAACTCTGATTACTCTAATTTAGTACATTACTGGATTACTAATATAGTCGACAGCGACAGCCTTATTCACGTTTAACCTTACCTCCATCATCAGGTGCAGAGGAGCGCCAGGCTCTTCACTCAGTACTCGGAATTTAACTCCCTCTGAAAAGCATGGATGAGGTTAAAATAGTTAAAATAACAATAAGGTGGTGGTTGAGTATCCATGGAAAGGACCTACACACTTTGATGAACAGTTATGGTTTTCCATATTGGAAAGAAAAAGGTTGTGTTAATGTTAATAAGACTCACCTGCCAGTCTGTAGGGCCTGCACACACGGAGGCCCATAGCGAACAGGGGAAAGGAGTTAATGAAGTCCACACTGAGGTGAATCAGCCCCTGGAACATCACCACCACCAGGCGCAGCTGCAACCACATCAAGACAGCACCACTTAGGATTGTGCTGACCCACCACGACCCAAGTCATGACTTCATGTTCATTTCCATCTCAGGACTCCAAGCCACACAGGGCTGGACGATTTGGGGATTACGATTTTTCTGACCAATATCATGACTGCAACTTAACTTTTTTTATATATCGCTGCTGTCGGAACAAAACCTTGTATCTACATTTTTGTATATTTTTTGTACATTAAAAGTACAGTATGTTTTTTCCTTCTCCTGTAAAGTTACCATTTTGGAGATACAAGGGTTTGTTGACAGCAGCGATATATAAATTAATATCCAGGCTTGCTATTTTGGCTGTTATTTTGACCAGAATATCCAGCCTTGACGCTAAAACGCTGGACTGCCGGTTGACAATTCAGACTATAATTAAAACTGCAGGTCTTTCGGTTTGTAAATTGCACTCTTTCTGCAATTTTGATATTAAAGCTATTTATCTTTCAGCTCTAAAGCCACTTCAAAGTTTAAATCACTCACCAGCGTAAAGACCAGGTAATACAGAGCAGTGGTGGGCAGCAAAAACAGCAGGACTGTGAAGAGCAAAGTGCCAATAAAGAGCTGCAGAAAGAATAAAAACACACGATGAACCATTTCTGTATATGTTTACACACTGCACAGACAAAGACAGAGAACATGTATTTGTACAGAGATCAAATAGAAGAGAAACTGCAGCAGTTATGCTACTTGTATTCTGGTGTTAAATAAGTAATAAGTAAGTTAGCCTTTATTTGTCCCACAACTGGGAAATTCACCTCCGCATTTAACCCATCCGTGCAGTGAAACACCACATACACACTACTGAACACACACGCACACACTAGGGGGCAGTAAGTCCATTTGCCCGGAGCGGTGGGCAGCCCTATCCACAGTGCCTGGGGAGCAGTCGGGGGCTGCACAGTTGCAGATCGAGTGCGGGTCATTATAGTTATTAATTCCTTAAACTCCTAGATTTATGACTTCCTAGTGGTGCATAAACAAAAAAAGATGAACTAGGAATAAAGCAAAAATATAGGCTAATGTAAAATATAAAATGCAAGATATTAAAATAAGGACTATATAATTAAAAATAAAAAAGTAAAAATAGAAAATGAAACTATAAAATACTTAATTATCAAAAAGTATAATAAGTAAAATAAAAAAAGGTGGATATAAAAGAATGTAGCAGCTGTGGTTTTGCACATGAGGGTATTGCACATATGTGAACAGGAGTATTTCTATTTACAGTGCAGTTTAATGATAAATATAGTATAGTAAATATAATATAAAGTGCAGATGAATGTAAACATCTTAATATCCCTTGAGTAATAAGGCATATTATTCAGTAATTACTTGGCAAACAAAATCTCGTGTAACAGATCTGAACCTTCCAACAGTCCACAGACGGCACTCCAGCAATGGCTCTGTGCTCCGGCAAAGAAAATCACAATAGGCTGACTCACTGCACTTGATACGAATCCATTTCAAATTGCTCAGACTGAGGGATTCTAAATGCTGTAAAATGGGCTCGAGCTCTAGTCTGACCACATTCAGTACATAACGTGGTGCCAAAGATATACAAAGAAATAAAAGAGGCAGAACTGCAGAGCTGGTGAGGCACAATTCACTGCAAGCATGGCGTACAAGGGTCATTCTACAGAAACGTCCATTTAAGTGTCCCTAGTGTTTACAGATATATTACACTTGAAAAACATGTCAGGGTTACAATTTATTTACATTTTAAAATAAAACAGTAATCTATTTTAACAATTACATCTTCTTGAGCCTCAATTAGCAATATCGGTTTTTAAATCAATTATCTAGAACTTCAAGCACCACAGAAGCTCGTCCTCACAGTCATATGTATAGGCTGAGGCCATATTTTGAGGTAAAAAACATGTTTTTCTGCAATTTTAACTGCAATAATCTCTACATGACTATGGAATATATAAATTAAATGACAAAGAAAACAAATGGCAAATAAATATTATAAAACATATAATGACAGTTGTCCCCAGGAGTCGTGTCACTGGTGTTACCGTGTAACAAAAAATCTCTTATTTTGAAAAAAAATCACACTGATCACATCACTTGACTTCCTTTTACCTGTTTTCTGAGGATTTATAAAGAAAATCGCATGGTGAGTCCACTGAAGTCAGCTGAAGTCACTGGTGCGACCGACTTTATTCTTTATTCTATTCTTCAATTGTGAAAAATTGAACACAAATGGATTAAATTCCATATTTTAGTGGATATTCCATGATTGACATGTGGTTTGATGCTCTGTAGCAGTTATTTTGTAAAATGCATTGTTCATTAAAATGTCTCTGGTGTTCCCTTTATTATGAGTAACACCAATGAGGATCGGTAACACCAGTGACTCCTATGGAGAGAGAGAAAAGTGGACGTTTCTGTAGAATGACCCATAAATAATAATTTAAAAACAAACTGGATGTAGAGTGACCGTTAGATTAATTTCACCTGACATTTTTTTTTTACAAATAATTTAAGCATGGTACAGCAATGTTTGATTGATTGACTGACTGACTGATTGATTCTTTTACTGTCACATGACACGTCGGTGGTAATCGTATCCAGTGCATCAAGATGTAATTCAACTCTGCTGTAGCTCAAAACACATAAACAGCACCAAAAACGGCTCTTCTATTGTTATAAGCTTGACATTGCAATAATATAAGAACCCTGTCTACTGCTATATAGAACCCTCTTCAAAAAGGTTCTACATAGAACCATCTACAGCACGTTCTCCAACAATCTGAAGAATTCTTTCACGATGCAAAGAACACTTTGAGCACTCAAAGAACCCTTTGCATGGTTAGAGTTCTATATAGAACCGTTTTCTTTACTAAAGAACACATGAAGAACCATCTTTTTTTTAAATGTGTATGTTTCCCTGATCTGTATGTAAAATACAGGGGTCACAAATGCTTAAATAAAGCATAGTTTGGCTTTTTATTGTAAAAGGTTGTACAAAATAAAATAGAAAATAAAATAAATATTGACTGAATAGTCAATATATGGTCTTTTGTTGGAGAGGCTCATTTAATTTGCTTGCTGTTTATAATTTTTGACATTTGCTGATACAATCACTCTAAATTTGATGTTTACATGTTTTATTCCATTTACTGATATTTACATTGTTTTACTTGTTTTGGCTCTTTTTTTTTGCATCAATTTTCAAAAAGATGAACTTTTAAAAGGTATTTATGTCATTCTCTTTTCAAAAAGACTCCTGGCTTGGGTTTTGCATGTACAAACCAAACTGTGGCCCAGAAACCAAGGAACTAACCGAGCCATGAAAGAGGTGAACTTGAACACCTCAACAATAAATATATAGCTGAGTATTTCGGAGGAATGGAAGCCTGGACCTGCTGAACCTGTGAATTTAAGGGGTTAACTTTCTCTCCTGACTCTGGGCAGAGAAGAGCAGGTGGTCAGTACCTGGTCCAGGTCGTAGGAGCAGGAGTCCACACGCTGCCTCAGCACGTTCCACTTCTTACCCCGGAAAAGACGCCAGAGGGAGGACAGGCCGTAGATTTTCAGACAGTAAAGCCTGCAGAGAGAAAGCAAGAGAGTTTTTAATGCACTAAAATGTAAAGCATGAATACTAAACTTCTACAAACATTACTGTGTAAAAGCTTTTTTAGTGTTGGTCAGGATGTTAAATAAACAAAACTGAGCTCAGACAAACTATAACAGAACGGATGCTGCCCTCTGCTGGTTGAAAATATCAGTCATAATTATAAAACGCACATTGGTGACTTTAAACAAGTGACATGCAGCTTTTTAAGGTCTCAGTGTGTGTTTTGTAGTTGAATTTCCTTTAAAGTTGAGTTATGAGGACATTTTAAGGTCTCAGTGTGTGTTTTGTAGTTGAATTTCCATTAAAGCTGAGTTATGGGGACATTTTCAGGTCTCAGTGTGTGTTCTGTAGTTGAATTTCCATTAAAGCTGAGTTATGGGGACATTAAGGCCTCAGTGTGTGTTCAGTAGTTGAATCTCCATTAAAGCTGAGTTATGAGGACATTTTAAGGCCTCAGTGTGTGTTCAGTAGTTGAATTTCCTTTAAAGTTGAGTTATGGGGACATTAAGGCCTCAGTGTGTGTTCAGTAGTTGAATTTCCTTTAAAGTTGAGTTACGAGGACATTTTAAGGCCTCAGTGTGTGTTTTGTAGTTGAATTTCCTTTAAAGTTGAGTTATGAGGACATTTTAAGGTCTCAGTGTGTGTTTTGTAGTTGAATTTCCATTAAAGCTGAGTTATGGGGACATTTTCAGGTCTCAGTGTGTGTTCTGTAGTTGAATTTCCATTAAAGCTGAGTTATGGGGACATTAAGGCCTCAGTGTGTGTTCAGTAGTTGAATCTCCATTTAAAGCTGAGTTATGAGGACATTTTAAGGCCTCAGTGTGTGTTCAGTAGTTGAATTTCCTTTAAAGTTGAGTTATGGGGACATTTATGGGCTCAGTGTGTGTTCAGTAGTTGAATTTCCTTTAAAGTTGAGTTACGAGGACATTTTAAGGCCTCAGTGTGTGTTTTGTAGTTGAATCTCCATTAAAGCTGAGTTATGAGGACATTTTAAGGCCTCAGTGTGTGTTCAGTAGTTGAATTTCCTTTAAAGCTGAGTTATGGGGACATTTTAAGGTCTCAGTGTGTGTTCAGTAGTTGAATTTCCTTTAAAGCTGAGTTATGGGGACATTTTAAGGCCTCAGTGTGTGTTCAGTAGTTGAATTTCCTTTAAAGCTGAGTTATGGGGACATTTTAAGGTCTCAGTGTGTGTTCAGTAGTTGAATTTCCTTTAAAGCTGAGTTATGGGGACATTTTAAGGTCTCAGTGTGTGTTTTGTAGTTGAATTTCCATTAAAGCTGAGTTATGGGGACATTTTAAGGCCTCAGTGTGTGTTTTGTAGTTGAATTTCCATTAAAGCTGAGTTATGGGGACATTTTAAAGTCTCAGTGTGTGTTTTGTAGTTGGATTTCCATTAAAGCTGAGTTACGGGACATTCTAAGGCCTCAGTGTGTGTTTTGTAGTTGAATTTCCATTAAAGCTGACTTTTGGTGGTATTAAACTCAAACTGTGATAAATCACATTTTTATCATTATCAAATATTCCTACACTGAACTATGCATAATTGTTTTTAAAAATCAGTGAAATTCCCCCTAAAACGCCGCTGCTGCCGTGGTGCAAAACTGTCAAAAAGATAAATGCCACAATACGCCTCTAACCCGGGCTAGCTGTGTTGACACTGCTGGCTCACCTTGCTCCGTACACATAAAAGCAGTAGATGTGGAAGGTCAGAAGTGCCACTATGTCTGAGAGCACCGAAAGGGCAAAGGTCAAACCCAGGCAAGCGGAGAGTCCGACATACCACAGGATCATCTCGATAAAGGGAGACATCAGACGGATGTAGCCTGGGGACACAAACAGGTGGGATAGCGGCATGAACACGTCGTGTGTTGAGTAAATAGCTAATTAGCTTCTGTTCATTTCCAGCAGGTCTGTCGTAACCTGAACCAACATCTGCCCAAGAGACGTTCGCCTACTCCAACACCACATTCACAGAGCTGGAAACAAACCCAGCCAGCTGTTTTGAGCCACATGAAAGGCATCTGTATTTGAATGGGGAATTAGACATACTGGGGATTCTGTTTAAGACATACACGTTTGCTTTTCATACCGACAATCACAAAGGATGAATGAACCAAATGGGGAAGCTAAGTGTGCTCTAGACAGCTGTACTCTGACAGGAAAACAGTTTTATTACCCTACTGCAACTGTGCATGCAATTGCTCTGTGCACAAATGTGTTTCCGTTGCTGTTTCCAGGTTGAATGCTTAAAAATCCCATTTTAAATAATGAGAAACTATAAGGATCTTTGTTTAGAGTCACTGCATAATGTTGAGTATCCAGTAAATGACAAAATTTAAAGATCATTTACTTCACAAAAAAAAAAATACACCCAAACCATCCTAACAGTATGACCATTAAGACATATTCAAAATTTATTCAAAATAAATACAAATATTGAAATAAATTCTATTTATCTATATATAGAATTAAATTAACAAGCAGCACCAAAAAGCTTTACAAAAGAAAATATTTCTTAAAAACCTTAATAAGAACAGTGGGCTTCATTCTCCAGTATCTTCCTAAATTTGTTTTTAAATGTGTTTTTGAGAGACGTCTACATCAGATTCATGACATGTTCTTAAGGGAGAACGATTTTTCAATAAATCTGTATATTGAAATGGCTGAGATGTAAACAAACTCATTCAGAGTGAAACGCTCCATTCTAGAGAAACTTTCTGAGTCAGAATTGTTCACAGTGGTGGTGATAGGAACCAGACGTCCACCTCTAGAAGCTCCCTCACAGACAGTTATCACATGAAACGGTTTAATATACGCTGCCTGATGTCTGAGACACTGTTTATGATAGTTTTGTGATGAAGTTTTGGCTTAAAATGTATTTTAATCCCCTTATTTTAATCTATTCATGGCAGACAGGTGTACGCAGGACGTTGTAAGCCAAAATAGTTCCCCCAGAACCGTATTTTTCAGGTTTATGACTACTTTACCTTCGTTAACATCACATATAAAACTCTCAGTACAAAGTCAGGTTACTTTACACCTTGTTTAAGACCTTGTTTCATTCAGTAACATTAGAAAACGTCAGCCGGTGGAACAGGACTCAGTGACACCAGGAGGACCAGCTTGGCAGAAGGGACCACCACAGTCACCACACCTATATGTAATAATCACAGTAGTTGCTGTTCAGAATTCTGAGAAAACCTGATATACAGGGAGATTAACTCGAAAGAGGCCCCGGATATTCTGTAGTAACTCTCTCTAGGACGAAGTAATCTGAATAAAACAATGTGCAATGTGCTCCTCAGTATATGAGGCTTCGAACAAGCCGGGATATCTCTGCATCGGAGCGTTGAGGTAGGCGCCGGACAGTCGTGACGACGTTTAACCTCTCTAACGCTTGCCGATACATTCAGGAACATGGAGCGCCACGTCGAAATGTGTCTGGCACATCGCATGTAATGCAATCGATTGCACAGACGTCAAGGTATGCAGCGTATTTTTTTGGTTCAGATTGCTTCACCCTAACAGGAGTTACAGCAGAATATTCGGGGCCTCTTTCGAGTGAATCTCCCTGTATAATTAGTTCAGAATCCGACCAAACAGGTTTATTTAAAAGGATAAAAAAGCACAAGTGGCCACTCTCTGCGCTCACAATGTGGACATTCTGACAAAAACTCACAGCAGTAGACACAAAACAACGCATTGTCGGTGACGTATAAGTGGGCAGTATGACAGTATTTGTAATTTTTGTGATAAATAACATCACAATATATCACAATATGCTTTTCTGATCATCTCATGGATATCACCAGTACTAACAACACTCCCCAACTGCATGTTTGATTACAGAAGGAGCTCTGCTGGTCCTGGTTAATCACATCCAGCACAGCACAGTGTGCGCAATACTGAAATCAAATCACTGAATTTATAGTTTTGACAGTGTTTCAAAACATGGCACTACTTTGTCTTTTCCAGCTTATCAAATGTCAGGAAAAATATATTATTACATTGTGTGTTGTGAAAACCTCTTAAAATATTGTGACGTTGCATTTTTGCAATGGAACAAAACCTCATCTCCAAAATGACAATTTACAGGAGAAGGAAAAAACATACTCTGCTTTCAATGCAAGCCAATGGAACCAGACTTTTTTCCAAGTCATTTTTGGGCCGTTTCTTTTGGTCCATTCATCATGAAATTTACACAGAATTTAAATTTTTTTAATTATGTCAAAAAACGAAAATGACTAAAAGGGAGAGACAGGGTTTTGTTCTGACAACAGTGATATACAGGCCAGAAGGAAAACAGACTGAAACTTACTGATCCACAGATGGATGTGGTAAAGGAAGAATCTCCCCAGCACCTGGTCCAGGGCACGGTTCATCTTCAGGCCAGCAGGGGCGCCCATGAGCCACTCCAGCAGCTCCTGCAGCTCCTTAGCCACATGCTGAAAAATGTAAACAGCAAAAAAAAATTATTTTAATGTAAACTGACCACAGACTGTCAGGGTTTCATATGTGTAGTTAAACTGGTCTTGTTAGGCCTCGTCAACGCTCTGCAAACACAGTCCTGCTGTACAAACTCAATGTGTTGTGTTCCCTGATTTTGGGAAACTCTGGAAATTCCAACATGCTTGGGTACAATGGATGGAACACACATGCGAATCACTGCGCAGGCAAATTCAGGAAATTTTTTCGATTACAAATGTCACTTTTCAATTGTTTTCATGACGGCATGTGATCCTGATACATCAACATCGGTGCTTTCACGATAACACACGACCGTGATTTGGTCACCGTAGATCATCACAGCCGTGATGTTATTGGCGATAACACACTCCTCGAGTGTTCTACTGCTTTTATACAACAGTTAAATAATTAAAGTAATAAATTAATAAACTGGGCCGTGAACGCGCCGTTTAATATGTTTTAATGTTCGCAGTTCCTTCACCAAATTATAGTTCCTTAACAAGCAGCTTGTTGCTACGTCAGAGTAACGAGCTCCGGCCACTCGCTGCACAGCCGGCAGTTCGTTCTCCAGCTCCTTACACTGAATTCCCAAACTGTCATCACCACTGAGCAGCTTTTCAGTCGGCAGCTGAGACAGAAGAACAGCTAAACAACCTGGAATCAGCCAGAAATGAACCCAACACCATTCGCCAAACGTGTAGTCTGATCTTCAGAGTCTGACCAAATGAGTCTGAGCCATAAAACTGCCCCAATATCAAGTTCAGCTCAGTTTTGTCAGTTTTTGCCAGATCAGTATTAATGTTGTTTTGTTCCAGCCAGTCTGTAAAGCATCTTACAGCCCATTTAGTTTGGCGAATGGTGTTGGGTTCATTTCTGGCTGATTCCAGGTTGTTCAGCTGTTCTTCTGTCACAGCTGCCGACTGAAAAGCTGCTCAGTGGTGATGACAGTTTGGGAATTTAGTGTCGTCTCATCTTCAGAGTCTGACCAAATCGGCTGTCGGTCAAATGTGATCTTAAAAGTGTCCATTTTCTGTTTGTGGCAAAGAAAGAAGTAGAAATGTTCAAATGGCTTGAGCGTCTCCTACAGCTGTCACAGTCGTTGCTTAGTAACAGCGTCTCAGCGGAGTGATAAAGTGATGTTATGGCAAAATAACAGCGCGGTTAGAACGCTGCTCAACCAAACAGCTTGCGTGGCCGGAACTAACTGTTGTATATTAATACACTATCTAGGTAGAAAGTATTATGTTGTGTAGTAAGTGTAAAACTACTTACGTCAGCAACTGGCACTAAAGTATTGGCGAGCTGGCTGATACGATTCTCTCTGTAGAGCCAGGAGATCAGCACCAATCCAAGAGCAATGTCCAAAAGGAAGGACACAAAAATGTTTGCCTTCCTAAGAGGGGAAAAAAGCACAGCACACCACTCTAAAATAAGCCTAGTATATACATATATATACACAATATACATTACTTAAAGCATGTGATAATGTATTAACTGGCTTTACTTGTCGAAACGTACATGCAACTTTGGGTGCGAAAAAACTTCATGCAACAAAATTGCACTTGAGTTGCACAATTTAGGTGTCCTTTGCTGCAGTAGTTGCAAGCATGTCAACTTAGTCAAACAAGCCAAAGGCTAACTAGTTGCAAGCAATATCATTTCTGTGCAACTAGTCGGTTACACAATTAAAAAACAAGCAAAATTGCATGCAACATGTTCAACTACTTGTATTTTTTTAATACATCAAATCTTGCTTGATACACAGTCATCTGGAAGGCATAATTTACACATTTGCAGCATTTTCATATAATTTTCTGAGCTGCCATTGCTGTTCTAGGTCTGCAGTTCTGTCTTTTGTCTACATATTTATGGATGTTTACTCTATATTTGACTATTAAACCCGTTTTGGTGTATATATTAAGGTTTAAGTTGAGACACTTGCAGCTGTCATTGAGTATGAAGCGAGCTGCAGGATGCTTTACATTATACCAAGCGTAATTTTACATTTTTCAAGCAAGTAAAGTTGCATGAAAGTTTTACTGGCAACTAAAGTTGCATCAAAGCTCTACTGTGTGATTATGTACCTCATGAATTCTACGTGCGTTGTGGCTTTCTTGGTGGAGAAAACAGTTTGAAAGTGATCCGTCCTGTATCCCGACTGAACACAGGTAGACAGCTTGCTTGAGATGAACTGCACTGGCCACGTATGCAGCAACCTGCAGCAGATAATACTGTAGATTAGTGGAGCTCAGAGACACACATAGATGAATGTGGTCACACTACATGTATCCATGTGTGTCAGTGTCGTCTGATGAATGATCAGCCATTCAGTTCATGTGCTGTAGCTCATTCAAACCACTGTCCATTCATGTGACATCACATCCTTGTGCAACTCTGGGTCATATTCAGGTCATCAGTTTTGCTGTTAGAGGTCTGAGAAGTGTGAACTTCTGTATGATGTGGACAGTAATGATTCGAACTACTACAAATATCCTATAATAGCTGATAAATTCAATAATGGCTTGTATGTTCTCAGTTGCCTGTTTAGGGCTGACAGACAGGGCAGCTTCACTGTTTCAGTGCAACTTGCTAAGAAAACAAATATTATCTTTTAGTATTTCAATTAAGTTTTATTAAAAAGTAAGATAAATAAACAATATTGCAAAATACCCCTACTAATAGATAATAATAAACACTTACGATGTTTGTAATAGCAGTAGTAAATAATAATAGTCTGTAATCATTACAATTACAACAATAACAATAAATAAAAGAAACTAATTTTTATTATTATTTGGGTCATTTCGATTTGCGAATTTGGGTCATTTCTGATCAAATTTTACCTAGCGCCCGCTAAATTTTGTATGTTTTAATTAAAGAGATCTTGAAAACAAGTGCAGTCGTGGTTATCTTTTCAGAAATTGTTATTCTAGAGTGTCTTTGAGCTGACAGTGTGATAATTTTGACGGTGATTCATTCTTTTCGTCATTATGAGTAAAAATAAACGATTAGCATTAGCCGAACATGTTTTTTATTGATTTTCTGTCCTCACGGATTCATGTTCAGTGCTAAAACTCTGATACACAGCAAGACAGGCTTTATTTTTAATTACAAATTGAGTTGCATATTTACTATCAGATATTTTTTATACTCAAAATCAATGTAAACTGAAAGCCCTTCGTTTATAATATGAAGGCTGAAAGCAGAGATGTAATATAACAGTAGTGAGTGGGTTTGGATTTTGGAGCTGGGTCTCTGGCTGACTGATGGTCACAGGTGGATGAAATCACTCTGGAGGGTGAGGCGGAGTCTGATGAGTGATCTGATGTGTGAATCATGTCGCTGTTTCAACCCTTCGTTGGAATATGAAGGCCAAACAGCAGAGCAATAATATTAGGATTTTCCAAGCTGAATTACTCACTGATGCTGACGTCACAGCTCGATGACATCATGGTTGCTAGTTAGGGGCGGGTCTGCTGAATGTCCTGATATGTGGATCATGTTTTCTCTTAAACCGTTCTGAAGTTATGAAGACTAGAAGTGACCTACCATTTTGCCCGGGTCTTAAGGGTTAACAGCTTAAGGGTTGGTATTACTTCGAAGTAAGATTTTCCCTACAAAAGCCTTTCTGAGGTACTGGATCTCAGAAATGTTATAATTTGTATTAATATCTACAGCTTTGATTTTTCTGTAATCCACTTTGAATTGCCACTTTGTATGAAAGGTGCTGTACAAATAAACTTGACTTGCCTGAACAAAAAAGATGGTTCTTCTTGGTTTAGTTTAAAAAAGGTTCTATATAGGATCATGAACACTCAAAGAGCATTTTGCATGTAATGAAGGGAGCTTTCCATCATGAAAGCTTGACATCGTAACATTAGAACCTTTTTGGGTGCTATATAGGACCCTTTTCAAAAAGGTTCCATATAGAACCATCTACAGCACATTCTCCATCAATCTGAAGAACCATTTAATGATGCAAAGCACCCTTTGATCATGCAAAGGATTCTTTGGATGTTCATGGTTCTATATAGAACCATTTTCTTTACTAAAGATCCATTGAAGACATCTTTTTTTAAGGGTGTATGTTTCCCTGATCGGTATGTAAATAAAGGGGTAACAAAAACTTAAATAAAGCATAGTTTGGCTTTTTAGTGTAGAATAAAATAGAAAATAAAATAAGTGACAATCCAAAAAAGGCTGAAGTATATCAATATATGGTCTTTTGTTGGAGAGGCTCATTTAATTTGCTTGCGGTTTACATTTTTGACATTTGCCGATTGGTACAATCACTCTAAAATTGATGTTTACGTGTTTTATTCCACTTACTGATATTTACATTCCCTCTGTTTTGCATCAATTCCCAAAAAGATGAACTTTTAAATGGTATTTATGTCATTCTCTTCTTGAAAAATCTTCTGGTTTGGGTTCTGCATGACTTGAACTGCAGTACAAACCAAACCATGGCCCAGAAACCAAGGAACTAACTGAGCCATGAAAGAGGTGAACTTCTACAACTCAACAATAAATATACAGCCAAGTATTTCTGAGAAATTGAAGCCTGGACCTGCTGAACCTGCAGAGGGACCCTGTGAATTTACCACCTTTTCTAAGAGTGTATTGTATACACTGATGCTGTCTCACCTGAAGCTACACAGCCACTGCCACACAGACACCAGCCAGGTGAGAACTACGCAAAGCGGGACGGACGCTTGCTTGAGCAGCTCGACGATGATGCTCGCCTCCCTGCCTTCGGACTGCCAGTGCGTGAGCTTCAGAGGCCCCTCGTCGTACCTGTCGAGAAAGAACAGGGGCTGGCTCTGAGCGACCGTCTGAAAAACCACGCGCAGCTCTGAAGAGTCTTTCTCAGAGCTTTTCTCCTGTATCGGGTGGAGCTGGGAGAGCATGACCTTCCTCTGGTCGTAATGAATGAAGATGACTTCTTCATCATCCTCCTGGTCAGCCGGAGGCGTCCCGTTGTTCTGCACCACCCGGCACGTGAAGGCTCTCTTGCCGCTCTCGCGACTCAGCTGAAGCCAACGTGAGTGAGGGAAAATGGTGCTAAGGTCTTTCAAGAAGCTGTCCATTCCCTCCTGGCCGTCTTTGGGCTTACTCCACGAGCCCAGAACGGTCAGGTCCACCTGGGTCTGGTTCCGAATTTGGCTCAGATACTTTTTCACCTGGCCTGGTATGAAAGGGTAGTGGATGACGGCGAGAACCACAGCTGAGTCTTGGCCCGGAATCCAGCGACCCACCAGCAGGCCGCTGTCGGCAGTGTTGCAACACTTGGGGAAGAAGATTTTAAGCACCATGGCTGGTCCTTCAACACGTCCCACGGAGGAAAAATGACAATGTCTGCAGAACAAACACAAAAGAAATTCATTACAGCAACAGCTGAGAGGTTTACTAGGCATTAACAGAGCACTGATTTCAATACAGTTCAACTAACATTGTAACTGTGATTTAAATTGCAATTATTTTCTATAAATTAAAGCTCAGACCTGATTGTTTTGGCCAAGACCACCAGAATAATCACTCTTTTCTAGCCTGAGGCTTGACCCCTGAATACAGTGTGCCAGACAGCCACTAAGTTGTGGTTGTGACCGTTCAAAACAGGGTCATTTTCTCTAGAGATGTATCAATACAACATATTATATTGGATTGCGCCTTGCTTGTGGCTACTAATAACTATTAACGCATGAGCTTATGGCAAAAGTGTGATCAGGACACCATAAAGGACTTTTATTTTAAATATTGTACTTTTATACAGCTGAATGCTCTATTAAAGTGGAAACATTAACATTATTTATTTTTGCAGTATCAAACTTGTGTCTCATATCATATCAAATCGAACATTTTATTCATCATTAAATCGCGACTTTGTGATATTTTGTCTTTTGTGACATGTTGATGCTGATATTTCACTTTCAGAGATCTGAAAATGGAAACACGCTGTTTAACACAAGGCAGGTTTTTGTTTTGTTTACAGCTTTAAAGTTTTACACAAAGACGTGCGATTTTCTGTTCTGGCACCCATCAGTATGTTTATTAAACCTACAGGTTAAAACAAACAAGGGTTAAGATAAGCATCTAAAAGTTGGTTGTCATGCTCAAACTACTCACTCTTTTACTCACTCTTTTACTCACTCTTTTACTCACTCTTTTACTCACTCGTGGGCCACATCCTTGGTTTGTTCTGGCCCAGTATATGGCTGGGTCCTCTGCCCTAGATCTGGCCCACACACTGTAAAGTGAGTAGAACTGAAGGATATGGCCCAACTACACTGCTGGTCCACAATATTCACACCAGAATTGTCCCACAAATGTAGAAACAAGGAAAAACGGTACAAAGCTGTCCAAGATCTGGCCCTGTTCTGGCACGCATGCCTAACATCTACCTCTTAGTCCATCAACACTCACATAGGAAAGCCAGAATCGGCCCAAAACAAATTAAATACCTTTACCAAAACTGTCTGATATCTGGGGTATTAGTAGGTTAAATGTCTTAAACGTCAACTCCTTGGGACCACCGGTGGTTCCAAAACGCACTTCGTCATATTCTTCATAACTTTCATAAGCTACATTCTAAAGGTGGGGGTCGTATGAGAGCTGTAACTGTCTTCTATCCAGTCAAATAGATGGGTGATGTATTTTTAAACCTTTATAATAAAAGAAGCTGAACTCACTTTTTTTTTGTCTACTGAAAGTCGACCCATTTTTCACAAATCTGGGCTATAAACTATAAACAGATGGCGTCTCTTCAGTGATCTGCTCTGTAAACATTATTTTTATAAAATAATTGAAAGAGCGTCTAAGATTTTTGGCTGTCAGCAGTAAATTGTTAGCATACAGCAATATGTGTGATCATAAAACACGTTCTGTTAATCTAAGGGGAACTTTTATAAAAAAAAAAAAAAAATTACATTTATTTCATGCAGTTACTGAATAATTTGCCTTACGATTTGGTCATGTAAATTCAGATTGACAAACCAAAACATACCCTGGAGAATCAGAGGACCTTTTTTACAATGTAGGGAAAAAAATGCAGCTCTTGCGATGTAAAAGTTTGCACTCCCTTACATTCAATTTAAGAAACGACCCATCTTTCAGCCCCATTCACTGGATAACATGATTTTAAATGAGAAAAACATTGAAAATAAGTTAAATAATCGAGTAGTATTCAATCTGAATGAGAAATGTTAAGTCTATCGGCTCGATTTAAGAAGTTTTTCTCGCTAAGATGTCATTTATTTGGCACTGAATCGAGTCAGGAGTCGAAAATATCAGAGAGAGGAGAGCTTACCCAGCCAGAACTCAGAACTAGAGGAAAACCAGCCCAGCTGCTGCTGCCGCCCTCTCAATGTCCTTCACTGATCGACTCCTTCAGCTGTTTCCATAGAAACGAGCCCCGGGCACAACTGACACTCGCTCATCTCCGCACACAAACACGGCTAACACCAGCCCCGGGCGCTGACCGGCAGCGTGACCGGCACATTCCAGCAGCCTCCCGGCACACGTGTCACGGCGGAGGGGCGAGACAGACGCGACCGAGCCACGGAGTCCGTGAAGTTCACGTTCACGGCTGACTAACGACCCCGTTAGCACGTTAGCTTAGCACGCTCACCCGCTACCTTCTACCGCAGCTCGCCCGCCTGTCGAGCCATACTGGCCACCTTTCCGCGGCCCTTATCACCCAGAACCCGCCTCTCCTGAATCCAACCCTGCGAAATATACTTTAAAAGTGCTTCAAAGTCGAATTAACGCTTTAAAATGACAAATTTAGGAGCTGAAAGTAGCGCTAGCTAGCCCCACTGCCGTTGATGGTACCTTTAAAATAAACCGCCGGGTAAAACGAGGATCAGAGTTTCGTTCCTACCAATCTGAACAGTACGGCAATCATGGTACACCAGCTTTAGAGGTCTGTTCATTACTGGAGCATGCGTAGTTCTCACAAGGCGTGGCCACGAATTGATATATTGAGGCCACAAGTTAAGTTTCTCATCACTCGTGACCTTAATATACTAATTAGTGACGTTATTATAGTAATTTGTGGCCTTAAAATAATAACTTGTGGCCATGCCTTATTAAAAATACTCACTGTACAGTCACCTTAGGGGCTCTGTACCTTTAAATACGTTTAAATAAGTAAGTAAGTACAATGTTATGGCAATACAGTGTATATGGAGGCATTTTAGATCGCACAAATATAATTTTCTACCCAAAATCAGTGGCAGAATAGTAAGATAAATAATTTCACCAGTAAGCACAAATACTGTTATTATTTGAATGGGTATATGTATATACTATTATAAAGTCTCTCTAATTCACAGCTAACTTTTGACTATTGAGTGTTTTTTGTAGCGTACAGTTTGACTAATTTCTCTCAATGCATTTAAGAGAACATAAGGTTTACGTTTCTTTATCACTCGGCTGATAAACAGAATCACACAAGCAATGTTTCTTCACATTTGTTGGCTTTTTCAGCTACTTACATGCACAGAGAACCCCAGTCGCTCAGCACTGATCCTCAGAGAAAAGCACAATGACACTGCAGGACAGAAATGCGCCCACGTTCCTGATAACAACCTTCACGAAGATAAGAGCCCAAGTTTTGGAGGGAACTGAAGTCACAGATGTAATAACAGTGCTGTGACTGAGGCAGCTACAGAAGAGACACAACAGAGACGAAGCTACCTGCACTCAGCAAACAGGGCTCTGTATAGTACCCTTTTAAAAAAGATGGTTCTTCAAGGGTTCTTTAGTGAACAGAATGGTTCCATTTAGAACCATAAGCATTTCATGCCTATATGGTTCTTCGCATGGTGAAATAGTTCTTCAGATTGATGGAAAACGTGCTGTATATAGTTCTATATGGTTTTATATATGGTTCTATTGATACAAGTTTGACGTCATAACAGTATAGAAGAACGCTTTTTGGTGCTATATACCATTAAATCATGAAACGTTTCAACATAGAACTCGTGATTCTAAATAGAACCATTTCTTTTATCAAAGAACCCTTGAAGAACCATCTCTTTAAAGAGTGTACCAAAAAGGTTCTGTGGCTTGTAACAATAGTATAACTCTTGCTTCTATCTAGAGCCACACACTGCAGTTTTACTTCACAGAGAAGAGACATTTAACCATGTAAAGAACCATTTCTTTTCATTCAAATGGTGGTTCTTTAGTGTTTACGGTTCTGTATAACCAGTTCCTTTACTGAAGAACCCCTGAAGAACCATTTTTAAGGTGTACACATCTTTAAATTCCATAACTAGAGCTGTGCAGAGCATCATAAACCCGTCTTCCAGTAAAAAGTATCGTTAAAACAAAGATACTTCAACAGACGTACAAAAGTATCAGCTTAAAAACTAAATTACTGAGTAACTTATAGAACTTGCAGAACTTTTTAGTACGTCCAGCGTCTTTCAGCACAGTAAGTGAAGTTGGTTCAGCTCTATTTTTCTCTTTTTGGTCTAAAATAAAGCACTAAAGCTCCAAAGCGGAAGTTATAAGCCTTCACAAAGCAGCACAGATGCTGGTAGAAAGTTAACAGAATGAAATTAACCCGAAAAACAAATTAGAAACTACATGTTAAAGCATAAAAGTAGACTAAGTTTAAATTCTTAGAATCTTTTAATACAGAATAATAACTTACCTGATGTAGATTTGAATATAAACTACAAATAAACAGGTTTTGTTCCATATTTCAAGTTGAAAAGAAGTTATAATACAGTAAAATACTGTCATTAATTATTTACAATCGTTTACGACCAAGTTATTGTCCTTGAGACTGAACCACCACTTGATATCTGAGGCGCTCTGGACATTCATTTATTAATTACAACTTTATTTATGATGTTCTACAGCTTTCTCACTTTACAGTTACAGTCTGCCCATCATTCCGGAGAAAGTCCCCACAGATTCATACTGAATATTTATAATGTGAAGTTGCAGAAGACTAAAATCCTTTTTTACAATTAAACTGTGTTTATTTACTGTTATTAAAAATATTTCAAACGTTTCAACTTAAACTCCAAACATTCATCCATTCTTTCATTTCAGTGGTGCAAAAAATACAAAATTATATACAGACCTAATTAGCTACTCTACATAGCAGTATGTACCCAGCAGCATTTTCAGTTTTCTATTTAAATTGAAAGATAATCTTGAACATCTTGTTTTAATATATATAAATATATATATATATATATATATAATATATATATATATATATATATATATACATAGATGTCAAGTGGTGGTTCAGTCTCGAGGACAATAACTTGGTCAAGAACGATTGTAACTAAATAATTACAGTATTTTACTGTATTATAACTTCTTTTCAACTTGAAATATGAAACAAAACCTTTTTATTTGTAGTTTATATTTAAATTCTACACAAGATTTTATTGTGTATTAAAAGGTGAATTTTATTAATCTGACAAGTGATTCCAAACTTTTGAACTTAATATTTGTGAGAACATTAGTCTACGAAAACCTTTTACATGTAGTTCCTAACTTGATTTGGGGTTAATAAAGTTACTGTTCTGTTAATCTTATTATTATTATTATTATTATTATTACGCTCAAAATATAAAATGTTTCTCATCCCACAGTTTTCGAGCTAGTACCTTTGAGAACAAAACTTTGCAGGATCACAGTACCTATACCTGATTAGGTTGCCTGTGCTTTTCTAAGCGATCCGATATACGGTTTTCGTAAAATTATCATTCAAAGACGATATTTTTTCCCATAGGAAATGAATGGCGTAATGTTGGGGACATTCAAATTAACTGCTACAAGTGATGTCACAACATATATATATATATATATATATATATATATATATATATATATGTCCCATATAAATATAAACGTATGTAAATGTATTTATCAAATACCTTTGAAAATGTATGAAAATTGAATGTATGACAATGTATTGATACTCTGTGACATACATTGTGTGTGAGAGTCTGACTGCAGACGTACATGGTTAATGTAAAGTACAGTGCAGATCACAGAAGAACGTTTTGTTACATCTGGAACCTTCATTACTCACAACTGAACACAGATAATACTTTATACTGATAAATGCATTTAAATATATATTTAACACATACATTTTTGATCATTTTCATACGTCGCAAAAATGTGTTTGATAAAAACATTGGGAATATACGTTTTCCATATGGGTGAAACACACTGCAGCTGGTAAAACTCAAAAACACAGCTAAAATAAACCGCTGGCTGCTGGTTCTGCTGGAGTTTAACGCAGGGCTGATAGTCTGTTTCTACTCAACTGATACTGTCAGCTCTTGTCCAGAAGGTGTGACTCGCAGTTTAACTGACCACCCAGGCTAAGAGCTGCAGGACTGCAGATAAGAGCGCGAGGGGGTTTTGTTAAAGCTCGCTCTGTCCAGCAGGTGGCGATATTTAACAGGATTTGAACAGGAGCACCAACTGAAAGTAAAAAATGACAATGTTATGATGTTTATTTCAACCTGAGTCTCATTAAAATCAATTACAAAATAATTTCATACTTACACATACAAAACAACACATACATCTGTGATTATCAACATATATAATCGTTTATGTATGAGTGAAATTAAATACTGTGTATTTAAAGTACTGTGAAAAAGTTTCAGGCAGCTATGAAAATTTGTTTATGGGCAGTAAGTTTGTTTGTGCTTGTAACAGCACTATATAGCACTCAAATAAATAGAAATAAACAAATAAAACCAAGAATGTAAGTGTATTAAAGAGCCCATATGATGAAAAATTGAACATTTTTCCTCTTTCTCTTGAAAAAAGAGTTTGTAAACATTGATTACAGCTTCAAATCCACTCCGCAGTAAATACAGTCCATACGCAGAAGCTAAGCTGCCTGTCCAGCCTACAGCAGGGCGCAGTAACAGAAACAGCCTGTTCAGCTCTAAGGGATAAAGAGAGGCTGGAAAATGGACACATAGACATGAATTATGGCTGTTTTTAAGTGCCAGAAAACACAGAAAGAAATATTAAAAATGTTCGTATGATCCTAAATTGAGTGTTACATTAAACATCCAGCAAAGCTTTAATGAAAAATGTAAGAGATAAATATGATTAAATGCCGCTGATCAGGCCTATCTGAGAACTGTGTGGGCGTGGCTAGTGAGCAGCTTGACTGACAGCTCTCTGTCCAACACTCCTAGCCTGATCCACCCCTCATACAGAACTACCATCATCATCCAGCTTTTATGTGACGCTAACTGGACGAAAAAAGCCATGGATGAACACACGGACAGACAGACCTGTGATTGGTCAGGGGAATGATTATGGAAGTGTTACCCAAGATTAGGACCACCCAGGTTTACACTTAGAGGAGAGAAATGTGGTGAAATATATCGGTCATTTACTGGTCAGTGGAACATTATTCAGAGGGTGAACTCAGTACATGTTTACTGTTTACCTACAAGAACGAGATTAACCTGATTAGAGAGACACAGATTTCGGAGTCTTTAAAAGGCCTCGAGGTGAGCGATATGGCAAAAATGTAATATCATGATACTTTGTCAATACACAATATGTCACGATACTTTTTTTTCAGATGTCTGATCAAAAAAAAAAGCCAGTAGTGCTATGTTTTAAAAAAATACTATCAAAAACTGTGATTTCTATTCAATATTTGTCACTAAAACCAGTTAAATGGAGCTAATTTTTCTCTCTATATAACGAAAGTACTGAGGAGATACACAGTATGTTCAGAAAAGAATATTGTATGTAATGTGGCATAATTTATTACAACAACAACATATACTGTCATATCGCCCAGCCCTAATTCAGCTATTGCATGGATTCATTCAGTTCCGTCACCTGATTTAATATAAAGAAGGACTGATTAGAGAAACCAGGTGGCACAAAAGGCCCTTCATGATCACAAACAATGTATTTACCCTTTTATATTACCTTTTTATGGTATATACGTGCCGGTTAGAGGTTGTTTATTACGCTGGGACAGATTAATGTTTAAATCAGCTTTACAAGCCTGTTCATTTACATTTTGTTAACTACCAAAAACCCACCCGTGTGTCATCGGAGCGTTTAAATGCAGCGCCAATGCAGGTGAGGCATTCCGCATGAAACCGCCCTAAATGACTGTTTACATCTGAACTGTTTAAACATGCAAAGCTGCTGTCTGGATTTCCCCTTCAGATGAGTGAGATAATGCAGGTAAGTGATCGGGCGTAGTGAAAGTGACAGGAGCGTTTCTAAGCAGAGAGCCGTGTTAGAGGAAAGAGCACAGAGCTGCGGGAGAGCAAACTCTGTGTTGTGGTTTCAGGATGAAAGCCGCAGATCATGTGACTTGTAAGAATCCCTCTGAATGTGAAAGAGATCAGAGTTGGTCATCAGTCAGTCTCAGTGCAGCTGAGAAAAAGGCAGCACGTGATCTGAGCTTGTAATGAAGGAATTTCTGAGCCTGCATTCCAACCAGACGCACTTCCAGAAACTCAAAATGAAAGGAGGAAATGGACGATTCTGGGTCTGACCTGAGTGATTTATCATTACTTCATCATTGTAATACATTATATGTATTAAAATATAATCATAAGACAACAAGTATAGACAGTACTATGTGTGTGTGTGTGTGTATGTGTGTATATATATATATATATATATATATATATATATATATATATATATATATATATATATATATACACACACACACACACACACACATACATATATATATATATGGTGCTATAATTGAACCATCATACACAGAACCACAAATTCAAATGGTTCCTTGAGTGTTTGCCTTTTCTAATGAACCCTTAAAGAAAGAACCATTTATATAAGGCGTGAAACAAAAAAATAGCCATAATAAAATATTATACATAATCAATATTTTATGATTTATTATGAAATAATTGATGATTGGACGGCAAATAAAGTATTCATCACTTCAAAATGAATGATGCTATGTACTTTAACCCTATTTTGAAAATAAGACCTTAAAAACTATAATATAAAAGCTTGTAAATAAACCGCGCAGCTGGTGGGGAAACAGCGCCCTCTGTCGCTCTGCTGGCGGAGGTGCGCAGCCCCGCTTCTCTTTCACTTTCAGTTTCCTGTAAAACACCTGCAGAACGATAAGAGCAAGCCCACTTCTGGCACGCGCCCTAGAACGAGATCCTCTCAGATCTGCTATGCTACCTGCACCCAGCGCGCTGTGAGACGTCCTCTCCACCTGAGCAGGTGAGTGCGCAGGGTCTGAGAGCTGGTTTTCCCATTTCACGCATACAGTAGCAGCATGGGCTGTTCAGCGTTAAAGGGCCCATTCCTTACATTTTCATGTGCTTTACTTGGTGTTTTGCATCAAAGGCAGTAACATCTGTGTCGTTTCCCAACCTGTCTTTATCTCAGGCTGTGCTAAGACATATGCAAATGAGCTTTGTTCTGATTGGCTGTGGCTCCGTCAAAAAGCAGCCAACACTAGAACACTTATTCCAACTTTAATGTGAATGAGAAGTATATTTATATATACGTATATATGCATGTGAAGCATACACCCTTAAAAAGATGGTTCTTCAAGGGTTCTTTAGTAAACAAAACGGTTCTAGACACACTTCAAGAACCCTCTGCATGTTTAAGTGGTTCTTTGCATCGTGAAAGTGTTTTTCGGTTTGATGGAGAATGTGCTGTAGACACTTTTTGAAAAGGGCTCTTTTGCTGTAACAAGCTCGACATCTTACCAATAGCAGAACCCCTTTTGGTGCTATATAGAACCCTTTTCAAAAAGGTTCTAAATAGCACTGTATACAACACGTTCTCCATCAACCTGAAGAATTTCATGATGCAAAGACCCCTTTAAGCATGCACAGCGTTCTTTGAGAGTTCAGGGTTCCATGAAGAACCACTGTCTTTACTACAGAAAGCGTGTATGTCGCTGTTGTCGGAAAAAAAAAACTTGTATCTCCAAAATGGTAATTTTACAGGAGAAGGAAAAACCCACTTTACTTTCAATGTAAGTCAATGGAACCAAATTTTTTTTCCAGTCATTTTGGGCCGTTTCTTTTAGTCAATTCATCATTAAATTTACATACAATGTAAAGAGCAACAAGTATTTTCGAATTATGTCAAAAACTAAAAAACATCAAAAATGGAGATACGAGGTTTTCTTCCAACAATATGCATTTATATGCGAATATTTAAAAAAAAAAACAATATAAATGCTGCAGTTTCCGAAAACGGACCCTATGAAACTTTAAAACTAACAATGTAAACACCAGGTCAAACTCTTTTATTTTTAAATAAATAAATAAATTTATAAATAAATAAATACATAGAAAACTCATTTTTCCAAGTTATCAGCCCTTTAAATGCAATACAGTAAGTGCTCACTTATTAGGAAAAAAGCAAATTTCCCCCTAAAAAGGGATCCAGCCCTCATATTGCGGTGAACAGAGTTGCTCATGAACAGTTGGGATGTAGTTATGGAGAAAAGTGAGCAGGCAGACCCGTCTGCAGTAAATACACGGTTTCTGAGAAACACAGAAGAAATGAAAGTGCCTAAAACAGTCAGAGAGCCCGGCTCCACCACGTCACTGATCAGAGATAGCGCAACAGATTTCAGTTTCACCATGAAATCATGGTTAGAACCAGCTGCCTCTGAACGATTATTACAACAAAAAAAGCAAGCTGATACATGTAGAGCCACATAAACAGCTCCAGTGCTCACCGCAGGTCCAGCCTGACTGTGCCAGTTAAATATGGTATTCAGCTATTTATTCCGGCTGTGTGAGCTCTGCACGGGGAACTTAAAGGCCTCTGCTCGCAAGAAATGAAACCTACAGCTGCTCCTTGTTTGCATTGCGGCCAAGTTGCGCTTTATAACGAAGCCCTGCTCTATTTACAGCAAGGCTTCCTCAGCTCAAGTGACAAACTACTGTATAGCGCTAAAATGTGCAATTTGCATGTCATAATAACAGTTATTGTTATTTTACTGAGCTATAATGTACGCGATATAAGCTTAAATGATATAAATGACACAAAAAAATGATGCTTTTTTGGTCAGTTTAGCTTTTCGAATAAGTGAAAAGGCCCATATCATGGATTATGGATGGAGGCACAGCCAATTAGAGCAGAGCTCATTTGCATATACATCAATCTGCAAGGCACAGTCAGAACAACAGCCTGTTTAGTTCTAAAGAGAGGTCATTTAAAAATGGATTATGATCATTTTTGATATATAAACCCACACAAGATTAAAAATAAAATGCAAAACAAATGCAGGATATAATATACTGTAGAATTATATACTGTAATTATGAACCGATAAATTCCACCTCTACTTGTGCAAATAGCTGCTTTTTATTACATGCAACTGCAAACTTCATAACAAGACACAGAGGTGAGAATATAATAAACATTACTGCATTAATACTCAATGGATTTGCATTAATATTTATAACTCTGACTGTTTTAAATGGGCCTCTAATGAGAGTCTCAGCAGGTTTCCATGATCTGCTAAAAACAGGTTCACCAGTAGGGGGCGCATTTAAACATATAACAATGAGATGCAGTTATAACAACAGTTAGACACACTGTAAACTAAGTGCAGTTCTATTTAATTATTTATTTATTTATTTATGAAAATTAAATCTAGTTTAATTATGCATATTTACATTGTTTGCTTATGCAAAGCACCTAAAACTGTTGCAATGCCAAGCTTGTAAACAACAGCAGAACCTTTTTTGGTGCCAAATAGAACCATCTACAGCACATTCTCCATCAAACTGAAGAACCATTTCAACATGCGCAGAAGCATTTAAGCATGCAAAGAGTTCTGCATAGAACCTATGGCTGCCTTTACTAAAGAACCCTCGAAGAACCGTCTTATTTTATATACCCATGCACACTCAAAGACCCCTGTGCATGAATAAATGGTTCTGTGCATCATGAAAGGGTTCTTCAGATTGTTCGAGAATGTGCTGTAGATGGTTCTATATAGAACCTTTTTTTGAAAAGGGTTCTGTATAGCACCAAAAAGCGTTCTTCTATTGTTACAAGCTTGACATCATAACATTAGAAGAGCCCTTTTGCGTGCTATAGAGAACCCTTTTCATAAAGGTTCTATATATAACCATCTTTAATAACCCTTTAATCATGCAAAGGGTTCTTTGAGTGTTCATGGTTCTATATAGAACCATTTCCTTTACTAAAGAACCTTTGGAAAAACATTTTTTTTTAAAGAGTGATACAATAGAAGAACCATTTTTGGTGCTATATGGCACCATTTCACCATGCAAAGGGTTCTACATAGAACTTATGGCTGCCTTTACTAAAGAACCCCTGAAGAACCGTCTTTTAGTGTACTACTACTAATAATAATGATTTTTATTACTGTTCCTATTATGACTGTTATTATTATTATTGTTGTTGTCGTTGTTATAGTAACCCCCAGGTAATCTGAGTGTGAGACCCCCCCTGTGAGCTGCAGCCCGCCCCCTCAGGCAGACAGAGCCCGCCCCCCGGAGGCAGCAGCGGGTCTGTGTGGGGGTCAGAGCAGGCTGAGCTCTAAACTCTCTGATTTCAGAGAAGCGCAGCGCTAAAGCGAAAGTGAACTTTCTGGGAAGTGGGCGGGGCGCGGAGGAGCAGAGCGCGCTTAAAGGCCGGGGCCGGTGCGCAGCTCGCGCAGACGAGAGAGAGAGACACGCACTCGTACTGGCTTAGCGCGGAGCAGCAGTGGGATCAATGGCCGCTGAGCACACATGTTCATCTCTCTGCTCCCTCACTCTCCTCCTGCCAGCTCCTCTGAACGGTAAGCCCCGATCCGGCCTCGAGTCCGCGCGTCTCCCCTGCGTTTAAGGTGGAACCCTCCGTTCCACCTTAAATGCAACCGCTTATGAGTTAACTGCTGCGCCTTTTAAGGTGGAACGGATCATTCCAATAAGAGGACGCTTTCCGAGGATGTATTTACCGCAGTCCGGAGAACGCAGGGTTTCTTTTTAAAGGGCAACTCCACCGACTTAATTAAAATTTCAACATACTTCAGTCTTGGGGATGTAAATTGGCCCAGACTGGTTTGGTGTGGAAAGCCTCACTGGAGAGAAACTTACCGACTCGTTTACAGTGGTGGTGATAGGAACCAGACGTCAAAACGCAAGTTCTATGTACTATTCAACACAAACAGAGGGTGTTTTTAGTTTTTATGTTGATAAAACTGTCAAGAAACTTGTCGTGAAACAGTGTCTCAGGCATGTGACAGAGCTTTTAAAGGTGGACGTCTGGTTCCCATCACCACCACTGTGAACGATTCACTTTGTTTACCCCTTTTACAGAAAGTTTGAAAAATTGGTGGAATTCCCTTTGGGTTGTTTTTGATTTAAGGCCAATTAAACTGACCACAGAACTGGTCAGAAAAGTGACTGATTGGTTTAAAGTGATGAAATGTCCTATTGTTTTGATAAATATGACATGGGCTTTGTTGCCTTACACTGTGCCACGCTTAACTGCGCAGTGTTTAGTTACACCGTGCAGTGCTTAAGAGTGTTGGGGCCAGTTTTCCAGACCGGGATTAAGCCCAATCCCGGACTGCACAGGATTCTGAATAGAGATTCTGTATTGACAGGAAAATAAATGCTTAATCCGAGCTACAGAGTTAAGTATAGACTGCTTTAAGTGTGGACTGTCGACACTGTGTGTACGTCTGACGGGAGTAGAGGGCTGTGGTTTTGCTCATCACTTCAACAAACTGTCATCCTAATCTAAACCTGCAATTTCAAAGAAAAGGATGCAGGCAGCTATTTATAAGGTTTAACCCCTTGATTTCCTCTGCATGTGCACATCCAAAGGGTTCCTTTGCAGTGATTCGATGGAAAACAATGCAAAAGTCAGGTCATATAAAGTGAGGCATAGTCTGTTAAAGCAAAGCACTTGAAGATCATCTTTATTTTTAAAGGTCTTAACAGGTAAAAAGTGGTACTTGCAGCAGAGGAACCCTTTGCATCTCCACAGAACCATGCTTGATAAGGAAATCTGTGCATGTTAAGAACATGGGGACCTTTCACTGAACTGGCTTTGTCTTTTCCCTCAGCAGATCCTGTGCGCCTCATCTAGATGACTGTGACGAGGTACGCTATGGGAGACCACGCAGGCTGGTCTTCCCTGTAGGATGGTAGCGCACAGTGCAGTGGAAGACACTTCAGGCACAGCGGATCACAGAGCCCAGAGGTCCAGGCCCCACCAGCCCACGGAGGCCAACACGCACTTCCGCTCCTTCAGGAACGAGGGTGACTTCAGGATCATCAACGAGACCACCTCCATGCTGGAGGAGAGCGGCTTCTACTGGGGGCCCATGACCGTGGAGGAGGCCCATCACAAGCTGAAGAAGGAGCCCGTGGGAACCTTCTTGATCCGGGACAGCCAGCAGAAGGACGTGTTCTTCACGCTGAGCTACAGGGCTTCTGCCGGGCCCGCCAGCATCCGGATTACCTTCCAGAACTCCAGCTTCAGTCTGGCCGGGAGCAAGGAATGCTTCGACTCTCTGTTCAAACTGCTGGAATACTACACCAGCTCGCCCAAGAAGAGTCTGGTGCGGCCCTACAGGAAAGTGCGGGTGCAGACGCTGCAGCAGCTGTGCCGCAAGCGGATTATCGAGACATGCGGCGGGCAGGCGGCCGTGGACAGCATCCCTGTGAATCCCATCCTGAAGGACTTCCTCCACTCCTTCCCCTATCGGCTGTGAAGTCCCCACGCAGCGCATTAAGGCACAGCCGGAATATGCGTACGCAAATACTTGACAGACTCCAAGAGGTCCGGTGTTGTCGTGTGAAACAGGCACTTTGTAGCACATTGTCACGAACCAGACTTGAACACTCCGTGGCCAAAGTTTACGTCCACTTTGAATGTTTACACTATGCAGGGAGCTCCGCTTCCTCGGACTCTTATTCTTTTGCTATGCAAAAAGCTCTATTTTTATACCAGTATTTTTATAGTAGTAATAAATATATTTGTAAACCTTTAAAAAAGATTTCTGACTTTGGGAGTTTCTTTGGTTCTTTGGTTTTCGTCTGATCACGCTGCCAAAAAAAGGGATGGTAGATGGGTTGGCTCAGGGCCTGCTGGGGAACCCACCTGAGGGGATCATGATTCATGATTATACATGTTATAAAGGTGATTTAAGGTCTTCTTTTAAGATCTGGCAGGTGTTAGAGATCTGATAGCGGTGCCAGCATGAAGAACCATGCTTGTGCATGTGAAAAACCTTCAAAGAACAATTTAAACATTATGTGGAGGCTCTTCAACTTTAAAAAGGTTCATCTCATTCCTCTTAAAGAAAGGCCTCCAAAGAGTTCTCCGAGCGCTGCCATAGAGGGACCCTTTCGCTTCCCTGAAGAACCATGCTTGATAAAGGTATTTGTGCATGTGAAGAACTTCTTTAAAGGTTCAGATAACAATTTAACAGCCCTGTACATCATGTTGTGGCTCTTAAGACCTTGAGGTTCTTCTCATGTGCAAAAGCCACTGAAAGGTTCTTTGGTGAACCAAAAGCCATTCAGGCACAATTTTTACGTCTAGCTACGTCACTACCCAGACGACCTAGACTTCCACCAAAGTAGGGTGTTTTCTAGATTACCCAGACGTATGCCTGCACTCACATTCCTGAAATGACAAGCATGCTAGGGCTCTCTGGAACCTGCTGCAGTCTGATTAATCTGGGTAGTAAGCAGGGGTGGAGCTTTGGTGACCGTAACTCTTCATGGCTCAGACACGCATTTACAAGAAACGGAGGGAGTAGTGGTGAAGGAGGAGGGGGGGTGGTGGTGGTGGAGGGGAGGCGGAGCTTGTGAAGTACACAAAGACTGCTGCCAATAAAATGCTTCAGCAAAGGCTTAGGGGATTACTCAGAAAGTGAGTAAGAGCGAGATAAGGGCCGCAGTCTCGGGTGTTCACGTAAACTGTAGATCAGTGATTAGAATTCCATTCAAGGAAGGAGGAAGTGATTTTTCTTTTTTTTTATGTCACCAATATTGCGGTCGAGTGTTTCCTGGCTTGGAAGGAAAGAAGAAAAGTACACAAAGTACCCGTGAGCTTGGAGACGGGCCAGGGTTTGGCGTATATCTCAGCCTCTGCTGCGTTATCATAGACGCTCGAGCTGTTTTGAAAGATTAATATTTATTTTTAATTTTTTAAAAACAACACCGGCCACCCAATCTAAACCAAAGAAGTGATTTATTGCAGCTTTACAGAGCACGGATGGTTCTGTGGCGCCCGGTCCTCCGCGAAACCGTGGCATTTATGACAATGTACGATTTTTCTTTTGACTCATGAATGAAGAATTCTTGAAAGCTTCCTGATTTTTTTGAATCACCACATTGTCTCGAAATCGGCGCTGCTTACTGAGAAAGCACCCCGGGGGTGAAACTCAGTGCGGTGGCCCATGACGGAAATCAGAGAGAGAACAAAAGCACCACTTGGTGCTATCTCTCATCTTTGTCAAAGATCTGGACGGTATCTTCCTAAGAAATCAAACCTGTGAGTTCTGCTGAAGGCAGATTTCTGGCGAAACTGTGCAAATCAAAATTCAAATGTACGCTGAAGTGTTTTTTAGAATTTGGCACAAGTTTTAATTTAATCTGCCGTGCAAAAATGAATTGAGGCTGATGAATTGAGGAGACAGAGGTACAACAAAGCTCATAATTAAGCTGTAGCTTTGGTATCTAATTCAGTCAGGGCATCCTGGAGGTGGACCTCCACCGGGCTGCGTCAAAGAATCACACTCACTTTCACATTCACAGCGTCATTAGCTTTCAAAACCTTGCCAAACACCTTCAGAACCTCTTTTTGACACTACATACAGCACTGTACAGATGAGAACTCCTTTATTTTATTTCATTTTTCAACCAAAACAGCCATTAAGTGCAAGTATTCCTCATTTTCCAGCATCAAAAAACAAATATATCAGATTTTTTTGTGTGTCTAGTGTGTCCACTCTACCTTTATTACAGCTGTCATTCTTTTCAGGAGACGTTGGTGGTCTACCAGGTCTTCCATGTGGTTGTGAGGAATTTTCCCTGTAGCATTTAATCAGTTATGGTGGTCTACCTGCTCTTTAAGGTGTTTTTAAGAATTTTCTCTGTAGCTTTCAATCAGTTTTTGAACCTTGTTTTCTCATTCCTTACGCAAGTGGATCATCTTACATCTAAACATCTTCCAAACAATGTATAACTTGTACTTTATGGCCGTTTTGGCTGCAAATTCAATAAACGACGGGTGCTCTCTGATCTTTGCACCTCATCATTAAACAGCAGCTTTGACAGAATTTCAATCAGGGCATGAAAACCTCCTGTAAGTGAACCTTTCAGCCCCCTACTGATGCGTATGCTTCTCATTTCACAGAAACACATTCACTTTCACATTCAGAACGTCATTACCTTCAAAACCTCCTTTTTTGCCACCGTATCTATATATACATCTGTGTGTTTTGGCCTGTGGTGCTGATGGCATGACAGTGTTGAATCAGCCCATCACTGCCTGCTCGCTTGTGGTGAAGAACACACATGAAAGCGCAGTCACTTCCAGGAAAGGAGACAGTTGTGTTTCCCTGAAGAGCCTCTAATCTCCACTGCATCTGCACACATTCACATTCACAGCCGCACGTCTCCTCCAAAGAGCGCTTCTAATTCCCTCTCTGTGCATCGCGCTCGTGTGTAGTCTATTCATGACGTTGGCCTGCACTGACTCTGGCATCCTCAGATGCTCCTGATCCACACGCTGACCATAGTGACCGCACAGGGGCAAAGCCGGCAAACGCAAATCACATCTGACAGCAGATCAGGGGTTACGCTGAAGAGGCCTTACAGCGTTACTGATTACCATCTATAACGGTGCATGGCTGTTTTTAGACAAGCAGAAAGCAGCGTTAGTGCAAGTAACACCTTTAATGGCAGGCTTATTACACAGTTAATACTACTAAGACTTATTATTGTGGATTATAATGTTATAGTCCTTGCTCCTAAGACTTAGTATTCAGACTTTTTATAAAGTTTTTAATTCTAAACCATATAATTCAGGCTTGTTATGCAGTTATTCATCTTGAAAGATATTATTACTGGCTTATTATGCAGTTACAAATCCTAAGACCTACTATTCAGTCTTATTATACTGCTAATAAACCTAAAACTTATTATACAGTGACTAACTATTAAAACCTATTATTCAGAGTTATTATATAGTTATTAAACCTCAGACTCACAACACATTATTAATCCTAAGAGTTACTATTTAGGGTTGTTTTGCAGTTATTAATCCAAGACGTAAGATTCTGGCTTATTATGCAGCTATTAATCTTCTAACATATGATTATTGGCTTATTATACGGTTACTAATACTAAGATCCAATATTCAGTCTTATTATACAACTATTAAACCTAAGACTTGTTATACAGTGATTAACCCCAAGACTATTTAGGGTTATTACATAGTTATTAATGGCTTATTATACAGTTATTGATACTAAAACGTTCAGTAACTACTATGAAACTAACAAGTAATGCAGTAACGCAGATGCTGAAGTGTGGACATACATGCAGATCTTTAGAGATTCCTGAATTAAACTTGTATTAATAATCAGAATTAATAAAACTAGTTTAAATTAAATTAAAGGGCTAAGATAAAGCGTGCTGTATTAACACGCTTCAAAAGGGAACAGAGGCTCAGATGAGATTTAAATAGTTTTAATTTTCCATGCAAGCAGTGAATAAATGCAGAAGTGCACCAGTTGACTCAGTGTGTGACACTGTAACTCTTTTCTTCCACTCAGCGCGACCACAACTGAAGGCCCTCTGGGATTTAGTACTTTTCGGCCTACTATATTTCACACCATGACACTGAATTCCAGGAAGGCAGGAGATGCTGCCAACTCGTCACCTAATGGTTACTATAACAATAATTTTTGCCGTTCCACATCAAGGTAGGAGGTCCCCTGTGGCGTGTGCTGAAAGCTGGTGGGTGGAGGTTTCACCTCCCAACCTCAGGCGGCTGCCTTTACCAGACAGAGTGGAGAGACCACTCTGATCTGCTCTCAGACAAGCGCGATGACGCTGCTGCTCCATTCACATGTATCAACAGCCTTAAGTAGAGTCTGACCCCAAATACAGAGGACATATCTATCGTATGGGAACAAAACTAGTTTATTTATTTTAATTTAATTGTATTTTAATTTATTTATTTTTACATAACTTTGAACATTTGAACAAAAGAAATGCTCCACAATTACTTAGAACATAATCTCATGTCAGTAGGTTCTAAATGACCTACCACCCACTTACATCACAGCGTCTATATGTTCCAGTATGTAATCTTAGATCTGCAGATACTGAACTTCTGCAAACACCTTCTGTAAAATACAGAAAAAACGTGGAGAGACTGTTTCAGTTATTCTGCTTCTAAACTGTGGAGCTCAGTTAATAATAATATAATAATAATAACAATAATAATAATAATAACAATAATAATAATAATAATAATTATTATTGTTAACTACCCCAACCGTTCTGCCATAACCCACCCACCAGCCCGAAAAACAGTTCCGTTAGCTAACGATAGCATTTTGCTAGCTAGCTTTCTTTTGTGTTATGGACTGTACTGATTGACATGAAATGATCATAGATTAGAGGAATTCAGAGGGGTAAAAACTTTGAAAACTTTTTTGTTTATTTATTTATTTATTTATTTGTTTTTTACATCGCTTCAAAATCTCTAGCAGAAATGCTCCACAATTACCTGGAACCTTATCTCACCACATTAATGTAAGTAAACTTTTTTCTTTCGGCTGTAAATTTATTATTTTGAACATTTTTGATCCAACAACTATGACGTTTTAAAACATGCAAATTAAAAAAAGTCGCCGGCACATGCTCGTCAAATTTATGCAATTAACTAATGACGTTATTTCTGCAAAATAAAAATAATAACAATGCTATCTTTATTTATAGACCACTTTTCATAGCAGCGGCAGCTCAAAGTGCTTCACAGACAGATGATAAAGCTTAACTGTAATTAAAGAAATCATGAATATTTTATTAAAATAACGCAGAAGTCAGAATTTTAAGCGCTAAGTTAGAGAGACGTTGTTAAAAATGTTTCTTAAATGTGCACCGAGCTAAAATGCTCAACCAATAAGACTGAGTTGTGGAGGTCCGCAACACAAATTCAACAACATACTTCTTGGCTATTTTGACTGTAAATTAAATGAGGGGTGCAGACTTTTGCACAGGCGCACAGGTTTAACGTTAAAGTCCCGAGAATATCGGTAACTACCTTTCCAACAAACATACGATGCATAACTCACAGTCAAACTCGCAGCCTGAGCACGGTCATAACTTCTGATACACTTGGAAATAAGTCTCGTTAGTGTGCACTGAAGCTAGTCTCGCTTAGCCAGATGTGAGCTTGTACAGAGAAATGTTGGGCTAAAGGTGGCACACGCGGTAGGGGGCGCCGGTGTGCTCACCAACATTGTCGTTAGCACATGGAACATGTAAGTCAGCATGGCTGAAAAGTTGCCCAAAAAACTTTACCTGAAGGCTGCTACACTGACACAACCCTAAACATGTCAGGGCAGATGTCATATGACATTATGAAAGATTATGTTCAGTAATATAACAGTGTCATGTTAGTTACTGCTAAATATACAACAGTTAGTTTCAGCCACACAAGCTGATTGGTTGAGAAGTGTTCTAACTGTGCTGTTATTTCACCATAACGTTTTTTTCACAAACACTGTGTCACTCCACTGAGACGCTGTTGCTAAGCAACGACTTTGACAGCTGTAGGAGACACTCAAGACATTTGAACGTTTTTACTTCTTACTTTGCCACAAACAGAAAATGGACACTTTTTAGATCACATTTGACCGACAGCCGATTTGGTCAGACTCTGAAGATGAGACGACACTAAATTCCCAAACTGTCATCACCACTGAGCAGCTTTTCAGTCGGCAGCTGTGACAGAAGAACAGCTGAACAACCTGGAATCAGCCAGAAATGAACCCAACACCATTCGCCAAACTAAATGGGCTGTAAGATGCTTTACAGACTGGCTGGAACAAAACAACATTAATACTGATCTGGCAAAAACTGACAAAACTGAGCTGAACTTGATATTGCAGCAGTTTTATGGCTCAGTCTGATTTGGTCAGACTCTGAAGATCAGACCAGATCAGTATTAATGTTGTTTTGTTCCAGCCAGTCTGTACACACATATTGGACGTTCTTTAACTTATTTAATATATTTTAACCCTTAAAAACACCTGCACTGTGTCTATACCTGTGTCTGTAATAAAGGTAAGAGTGGACACATTAAATTCTAAATAAATCTGATATTATATTTAGCTGTGTAATCGATTTGTTCATATCTTCTTAAATCCTCCTTTAAAGGCTCTTCATATATCATGATCCTCATATGTTTCATATCTAAACAGGCTAATGGTGGTGTACATTCACTTTCCCACGCTGAGTTCAATACTTCAACTTAGAATATACTGTATATATATATATATATACATATACATATGTAGTACTACTGTCAATGTGCAGTCTTGTATAGTTTTGTGCTATTTGTGTACATAAAATTACAGCATAAATGCTGTAAATATTAATTACAGTAACTGCTGACAATTAGTGATAACAGTAATATTCACATTACAGAACAAATTCAGTCTTGACAACTCATGACAGCATATGACATCTACTATGACATGCTTATGACATGGTTAAATCAGTGCTATGTAGCAGGGTTCAAGTCAATTAATCACTCAATATTTATTGCGTCTCGACAGTGATCTATGATGTAGCTGAGCAAGTGAAAAGCTAAAATTACATTTAATCAACTGAAACAAATCAAGACTGGCGACAAAATGATGAACAAAGAATATTTATAAAAATAAATAAATAAAAGTTAATAAGATAAATGGTGAATTAGAAAGAGAGATAAGTAAAGAGAACACATTAAATCTGTTAAAAACAAACGTAACGACTCGCAAAGGAAAACCAGTTCCTTTAGCTAACAATAGCATTTTGCTAGCTGGCTTGTTTTGCTTGTGTTATGGATTGTATTGACTGATGTTAAACGATCATGGATTAGAGGAGATTATAGGCGGTGTGCAATTTTAGAAACGGCAAAACTACTCAAGTAAAAAAACAGCAAACCACAAACCACAGGTGTGTTGGCTTCTTTTGTTGGTTTGTTAGTGAGAAGTTTGTCACGCTACACTATATTTATGTGCAACTGCACTGTTTTCTCCTGTCGAAAAAAGATTAAATTAAAGGGAATTCCATAGATTTTTCAAAACTTTTGCATAATTCCGTCGTTCCGATATAAACAATGACATTCAGCACAATTTGATGGGAAATACTTCACTGTAGAGAGCCTTACAGACTTCTTTACAGTGGTGGTATAGGAACCAGGGGTCGCCATGACCACAACACAAATATAGACATTTTATTTACTATCCAGAACCACCAGTGAACCTACACGAGTTTTTCTATGGAATTATGATGATGGGAAAATAGTAGGAAGTCTGAAAAAATCTGTTTTTTTGGGGACTAACACCTGCACGTATCCTCACACCATGAAAGGGTTAAAATAAATGGCTTAACAAGATGTTTTAAGCCAAAACTATCATAAAACAACGTGTCAGACATCAGGCAGCGCATTCATAACCATTTAGCGTAATAAGTTTCTGTGATGTGGCTTTAGGAATCATTACACTGGGATCACCTGATTTGGGCCTGTCTGCACTTCACAGTGTGTTACTGTCTTCACTACCGTACCGGCCAGATGAGCTATTCTTCCTAAATGGAAACAGGCCTCCCCTGCATAACAGGACAGACGGATCCGGGAAGCTCTATTATGTATCAAGCTTGAAAAGTTATGGTTCTCTCTAAAGGCTTCCTTGGAATCCTTTGACAGAACAAAAGATCCTATTCTGGATTTAATTAATAACTGTATTAGTTCACCCGAACAGGATAGCGATGCTCAAGTGTGTGAATCGAGAGGGTGTTTTTATTTTTTTCCCCCTCCCAAACGTTGTTTAATCATTTGTACATATTCCAGTTTATTATTTACACATTGCTCCACTCGTACCCTGTTAGATATCTTATTTACTTCTGCCAGATCCACAGGAAAAGCTTTAGTGGGAGGCATGGGTTCTAGGGTGGGAGGGATTAGGGTGGGAGGGATTAGGGTGGGAGGGCTGGGCTCTAGGGTGGGAGGGATTAGGGTGGGAGGGCTGGGCTCTAGGGTGGGAGGGATTAGGGTGGGAGGGATTAGGGTGGGAGGGCTGGGCTCTAGGGTGGGAGGGATTAGGGTGGGAGGGATTAGGGTGGGAGGGCTGGGCTCTAGGGTGGGAGGGATTAGGGTGGGAGGGATGGGCTCTAGGGTGGGAGGGATTAGGGTGGGAGGGATGGGCTCTAGGGTGGGAGGGATTAGGGTGGGAGGGATTAGGGTGGGAGGGATGGGCTCTAGGGTGGGAGGGATTAGGGTGGGAGGGATGGGCTCTAGGGTGGGAGGGATTAGGGTGGGAGGGATTAGGGTGGGAGGGATGGGCTCTAGGGTGGGAGGGATTAGGGTGGGAGGGATTAGGGTGGGAGGGATGGGCTCTAGGGTGGGAGGGATTAGGGTGGGAGGGATGGGCTCTAGGGTGGGAGGGATTAGGGTGGGAGGGATGGGCTTTAGGGTGGGGGGCTTTAGGGTGGGAGGGATTAGGGTGGGAGGGATTAGGGTGGGAGGGATGGGCTCTAGGGTGGGAGGGATTAGGGTGGGAGGGATGGGCTCTAGGGTGGGAGGGATTAGGGTGGGAGGGATGGGCTCTAGGGTGGGAGGGATTAGGGTGGGAGGGATTAGGGTGGGAGGGATGGGCTTTAGGGTGGGGGGCTTTAGGGTGGGAGGGATTAGGGTGGGAGGGATTAGGGTGGGAGGGATGGGCTCTAGGGTGGGAGGGATTAGGGTGGGAGGGATGGGCTCTAGGGTGGGGGGCTTTAGGGTGGGAGGGATTAGGGTGGGAGGGATTAGGGTGGGAGGGATGGGCTCTAGGGTGGGAGGGATTAGGGTGGGAGGGATGGGCTCTAGGGTGGGAGGGATTAGGGTGGGAGGGATGGGCTCTAGGGTGGGAGGGATTAGGGTGGGAGGGATGGGCTCTAGGGTGGGAGGGATTAGGGTGGGAGGGATTAGGGTGGGAGGGATGGGCTCTAGGGTGGGAGGGATTAGGGTGGGAGGGATTAGGGTGGGAGGGATGGGCTCTAGGGTGGGAGGGATTAGGGTGGGAGGGATTAGGGTGGGAGGGATTAGGGTGGGAGGGATGGGCTCTAGGGTGGGAGGGATTAGGGTGGGAGGGATGGGCTCTAGGGTGGGAGGGATTAGGGTGGGAGGGATGGGCTCTAGGGTGGGAGGGATTAGGGTGGGAGGGATGGGTTCTAGGGTGGGAGGGATTAGGGTGGGAGGGATTAGGGTGGGAGGGATTAGGGTGGGAGGGATTAGGGTGGGAGGGATGGGTTCTAGGGTGGGAGGGATTAGGGTGGGAGGGATGGGTTCTAGGGTGGGAGGGATTACGGTGGGAGGGATGGGTTCTAGGGTGGGAGGGATTACGGTGGGAGGGATGGGTTCTAGGGTGGGAGGGATTAGGGTGGGAGGGATGGGCTCTAGGGTGGGAGGGATTAGGGTGGGAGGGATTAGGGTGGGAGGGATGGGCTCTAGGGTGGGAGGGATTAGGGTGGGAGGGATTAGGGTGGGAGGGATGGGCTCTAGGGTGGGAGGGATGGGTTCTAGGGTTCTACAGTTGTACTTGTATAATGTAGCATGTTTGTGGTTCTACAAAATGCAATAAAAAGATTTGGGGAAAAAAAATAATTAAACTCTTCAGACGTCTGGTTCCTATCATCACCACTGTCAATTACTCAGGCTCGGTAAGTTTCTCTAGAACGGAGGGTTTCACACCAAACCACTCTGAACCACTCTGAACGACTCTGAACGACTCTGAACGACTCTGAACCACTCTGAACCACTCTGAACGACTCTGAACCACTCTGAATGACTCTGTTTACATCTTAACCAACTTAATTACGAAGAACAAAATATTAAAGCAGATTTCCACAGTCAGACATTCCCAAAGCGCTAAAATTACTCTTCTGATGAAATCCCTCTGAAGACTGACAGACAGACCCTGACAGGCAGAACATCAGACTAATATCGGCTGTATTCGGCTGCAGTGCCAGGTTTGCACGTCACCGCAGGCTTTAAACCGCAGACTGCTTAATGTGTGTGCTCATCAGAACTGCAGGCCCTGCGAGGAGCTCTCGAGCCCCGTCAGCCTCAGCATGTGCACAATTACAATTACATCAGCTTCTGAAGGCAACAGCGCAGCCGGCAGCGTTCACCACAGCCGTGCAGCTCCAGTCAGCTCAGCTCACCTGGTTTTCACACAGCTGAGGCAGCTTTAGCGCAGCGAGCAGCCGCTTTACCGAAGATGATGACTTGCGGCAGGAAGCTGTGACCACAGGCGACTAATTTTTGACGAGGTGCAGGACAGAGATGAGAACAGGGTGAAAACACTGTGTACGACTGACGTCACACCTAAACTGGACTTCCAGGCAGTGCTGTGACTAAGACAACAGGGACTCCGGTGCCAAAGAACTGACCCCTGACAGAAATGAGCCTGGATGGACAATGAAAGAAAAGAAGATTGTCATCTGTTGGCTTGATCTCTGTTGCTGCGTCCCTGGGAACTTTATAACAGAGGGAAAAAAACCCTCTTAGCTCTGAGTGGGAGTGGACGAAGGGCTCTGTTGGTCCACTCAGCAAGACGTTTTACCGCATTATTAAGAGCTACTGGCATTTTCAAATTCTAAAACAACAAAAGTGCAGATACAAGCTTTTTCCCCAGCAGCAACGATATTATGAAAGGGGAATTCCACCTATTTTTCAAAATTGATGAGACAGAGTAATTCAGAGTGGTTTGGTGGGAAATGGTTCAGATGTCTACAGTGACGGTGATAGGAAACAGGGGTCGCCATGACTACAACACAGATATAGACATTTTATTTACTATCCAGAACCACCAGTGAACCTACACGAGTCTTCTGAGTTTATATGGAATGTTGATGATGGAAAATAGTGGAACATCCGAAATAAGTTTTCTTTGGGTCTATTTTGCAAATAAAACACTCTTCCTATGTAAAAACTATCGCTAAAAAACAGCGTCTCAGTCATCAGGCAGTGAATTCATAACCATTTCATGTAGGAACTTTCTGTGAGGGAGCTTTGAGAGGTGGACGTCTGGTTCCTATCACCACCACTGTGAACAGTTCTGACTCTAAACCACATCAAACCACATATCTTGTCTTATCTTATGCTCACAATAATCACCTTCATCTGCTCAGGGAAGGGATCCGACACCACGTTACAAAATAATCTTTCACACCATTTGTGCAGTTACACATTTCCACCACAGAGGTCTCCAAATCCCCAAATCTTACATAGTGCAGCTTCAGCTCATTGGAGCCATTCATTCCTCAAATAATGACTGTAAAACTGCAATAAGGGGTCTAGTTGCTGTGAGTTACATCACCACTTTCAACAGAGCAATAAACCACCTTCCATCTATCGACCAGTCCTGTATCACACACAAGACCAGACCTGTGAGGACGTGTCATTTCTTTAAAGTTTCGCAATTAGCATCTGGACGAGCCCTGCGTATGAGCTGTTTTTCTTAATGGCAAATATGAATAACATTTTCAAAAATCCCCAAAACTGAGCTCTGATACGTTTTGTCCTTGTACATTTTTCCTCCAAATATCAGTGTCGTTTCAATTGCGGTCACTAAGTAGTTAAAACGAGAATATGGCTTCATAAACAGCACTGAGAGAACGCTTTCAGTTATATTAAAGAAAATCTGCAGGGATATTTTTCCAAGTTCAGTCTTAGAAGCTGGTTGATGATTTTCTCAAGTAACCAAACACATTCAGTGGTGTTGAGGTCTGGACTCTGGGGTGGTCAGTCCATCGTTCAGCTTCTTTGTTTGATGTGTCCGTCTCCTTTTCTCAGTGAGGTTCTTCTTGATCAGCTACACATCCTTTCAGACCCACAGCGCTGAGTCGTCTTCTCACAGTGGAAGGATGGACAGAAACACCTGTGGATGTTTTCAGATCTGATCAGCTTGATTTTCTCCTCTCTCTCAGAGATGAAAGCTTTAAGTGCTGTTCATCTGATGGGGGCAGGTTTGGTGGTTGTGGCACTGTCTGAGTGAGGAAGCGGACTGATTAGCAAGCGCTTACACCTGTGGATAACTGTCTCTCTCCCTACTAATATGAGCTTCTTTCCCCAGTAGAGAGAGAGAGAGAGACCTGGGAGACGGGAGCAGAGACGGCAGAGAAAAATCCCAGAATTTGAACCATCAGACTGGATACAGGACTCTGAAGTTTTGGCTATTTTTGAGTGTAACAATAAAATATCTCTTCCCTCTGACACTGCCTCCGCCATGCTCCTTCCACCTACACTGACCAGAGCATCACAGTGCTCTAATAGGTCTTCCAGGTGGTTGTTAGGAATCCCATTTTCTCTGCAGCTCATTTTAGCATATTTTGGAAACTCACTTCTTTTCCTTGGACTTTGCCCATCCTTATGCAAGTGGGTTATCTATCTAATCTCCTCAGAAACACCTGAAACATCTGTTTTGTACTGTTTGAGCCTCTGGATTCTCTCTGGAGGTAAACCACCCACTTGTCTTCACAAAGGCCTCAGTGTGCTATCAGCTCTTCAGTTGTTTGGATTGTAGAGTACATATGACTCACTCTCCCACTGTGGGTCAGTGATGTTAAGGTTCAGGGACTGGAAGAGTCACTCCAGAACCTTCATTTTCTTCCACTCCAGTCCATGCTGGCTGGACTCGGCCTTGAACCGTCTGTCCTGATGGAGAGTCCTGACCTATGCGGGGTTTCTGAGCTGATGGCTGCAGATTTCCTCCAGAGTTTTAGAGATAATCTGCTGTTTGCATCTGGCCTTCAGTCTTGACCGTGTTTCCGGTTCTACACGCCCTTAAAACAGCAGCACAGCCGAACAAAAATAGCACTGCTGGCCTTAACTGAATTACTTGGAAGTCTTCAGGTTTCAATAGACTGTGTTGACATATTACATACAAATGGACCTCACTGCATCGATGCCACACAAGCGGCCTTGTTCTGGTTAAAGAGCCTGAATTACTGAAAACAAACTTTTAAAAATAAAATTCTGATGTAGACACTTAAAGATGTTTCTTTTTATCAAGGGTTCTTAAGCAATGGAAACAGTTATATTTAGAACCATGAGTTCTATGCAGAATTATTTCATGCCTAAATAGTTCTTTGCATGGTGACACTGTTCTTCAGACTGATGGAGAATGTGTTGTATACGGGTCTATTCAGAAACGTTTTGAAAAGGGTTCTGTACAGCAGCCAAAAGTGTTCTTCTATTCTATAAGCTTGACATCAAAACAATAGGAGAACCCTTTTTAATGCTACAGAGAACCACATACACACTTAATATGATGCTTCTTTAAGGGTTGTTCTGTACAGAACTATGAACACTAAAATGAACGCTTTGCATGATTAGAGGGTTCTTTGTATGGTAAAAGTGCTCTTCAGATTGATGAAGAATGCCCTGCAGATGGTTCTCTGTAGAACCTTTTTGAAAAGGGTTCTATATAGCACCAAAAAGGGTTCTGCTACTGTTATAAGCTTGACATTGAAACAACAGAAGAACCCTTTTTGGTGCTATATAGAACCATATACACACTTAAAATGGTGGTTCTTCAAGGGTTCTTTAGTAAAGAAACTGGTTCTATACAGAACTGTCAACACTCATAGAAGAACCCTTTTGGTGCTATATAGAACCATATACACACTTAAAAATGGTGGTTCTTCAAGGATTCTTTAATATAGAAAATGGTTCTAAACAGAACCGTCAACACTCAAAGAACCCAATGCGTGATTAGAGGGGTCTTTGCAGCGTGAAAGCGTTCTTCAGATTGATGGAGAATGTGCTGCAAATGGTTCTACATAGCATCCAAAAGGGTTCTTCTATTGTTACAATGTCAAGCTTGTACATAACAGCAGAACCTTTTGGGTGCTATATAGAACACTTTTCAAAAAGGTTCTATATAGAACCATACACAACACATTCATGATGTTAAGAACACTTTAATCATGCAAAGCGTTCTTTGAGTGTTCACTGTTCTGTATAGAACCGTTTTCTTTGCTAAAGAACCCTTGAAAAACTGTCTTTTTAAGTGTGTACTCTAATTATCTGTTTACAGTCATTGTTGTCAGGTTTTCTGCCTCCAGATTTTCATTGTTTCTCCAAAGTCATCGCCTTTGAAATATGATTAATTCCGGATATTAATTTTATTATGTCTTCGTTCTTCATGCTCTGTAATTTTCTCAAACACATTAGAAACGTCTGTAGCTCTGTTCTTCCTCCTGGACACATCTAAAAAAAAATCTTCTTGGGAATTTTCTTGGGAACTGGGAGGATTAATGGGGTCGTGCTGTTTATTTTGCTGGCACCGCTTTAACTGGCAGAGCTTCTACCCATTTATATATATGTGCATGTTCATTTTGTATTTACTTATTAATTTTGTTAATAATTCTTTCAATTATTTTTTTATAATTACATTCCATATACATATATACATGTATGAACTATTTATTACGAATTTATTCTCAGTCTGTTTATTATTTTTCTATTGAACTGTATCTGATATTTCAACTATCACACTGCACACACTGTGCAAAAGCTTTATGGCACCTGAGGAAGTGAGATTTAGAAGGTTATTTATTTTATTTGCACAGAAAAACACTAATATAAAAATAAATACAAATAACATTAATGCAAATAAGTTTGTTCGTATGTCAGGGTGTTTTTTTAACCATTTCTTGCTCTCTCCTCCAGGAAGTTCAGTATTATTTGTATTATCCAATACATGCTTTACCTCATCAATACTTCATGAATTTAAATCAGGCGCTGTTGATCGGATTTAAGTTCACGTGAGGCGTCCAGGAGAAATCTGGAGCCAAACTTGGTCAAACTAGCTGACAAGATCTCAACTTTTGCTTCCAAAGTAAGAAATTCTTCTTACTTTTTACTGAATTTTTTGGTTATTTGTATTTATTCTAATGATATATGTAATTTTTATAGGCAGATAAACACTCACTGCCCAGAAAACCGGCTTTAAGACTTCCGCACAGTACTGTATTTACACAGCCATACGCAAAAGTTGGTTGAATTTGATGTTGTGGTTGATTTTCTAAGTAAAGTAAGTTAACACATCTTTACAGAGAATACACTTCTGCACATTTTAATACGACAAAAAAAATCATAGAATGTGGCTTTGCAAAAGTTATGGCACATTTTATGTTTTATTTGTGTCAATATGTTAATCTCATCGCAAATAAACTGAAATTGTGCATTTAGGCTTTGCTCACACAGCAGGTAAAAGTGGCCCAAATCCGATTTTTTTTCTCATTTGTGACACAGATGTGTGTCAGTGTGAACAGATAAACACTGAATCTGACATTTTCAGTTCAGATTTGAGACGCTTTCATATGTGGTACTGAAATCCGATACGTATCCGATCTGCAGCAGTGCGACTCAGTCTGAACAGCCAGATCGGAATTCATGCAACTTTTACGCCAATCCAACTCAACGTTCGTCATAATTTCGCGCTGCTGAGACTCAGAAACACTTAGGCTGATGTTTCTGTACAAAAATTAGAGGAGACTCTGAAGAGGCTGCAGCGTCAAAGAACAGTTAAAGTCTGAAAGCAAAGTTTAAAGAATCCGAGGACGCGAACCAAAGAAGTGGCCGCGCCCTTTTTACGGCTCGAACACATTCTGGGTGATGAGCCCAGCTGTCAGTCAGTGAAGCTTCATGATGGCTCCTGTGATGCTGGTGAAGATGAGGCTGATCCTCTGGGAGCGACTGGTGTTCGTTGGCGGTCGTGACTGTTTACCTCTGGATGAGCCGTGAAGCAGCGTGACGCTCTGTTCTTTAGCGCATGCGGCTCAGTTTAGGAGCTGATCTGTTCAGACTGATGATACAGATCACATTTAAAAGATAATCTGAACAGACAAACATAAAAATCAGATTTGGTGAGAAAATTTGGGCCACTTTGACCTGCTGCGTGAACGTCGCCAAAATGTTGCAGAAAAACACCACACTGAAGCGTGTGCACAGTAGAGACTGCGTTTATCAACATTAAGAATATGACTGTATAATAAATACAATCATTTTTGTAAAGAAGCTTCAACTCCAGCACTGCTTCCAGCGTCATTAATTTGCTGTGCTGTGAAAGACGCCTTAAAAACATCCCTGTTTCCTTCCTGGTCTGGGAGCCGGTGCCCATCTGAATTTCCTTTAACTGAAAACTGCATTGTATAAGAGACATGCTGGAGCCTGCCTTTGCATTTCAACATCAACATTTGTACAATTTCACTTCCTTGACTCGTGCAAACTGAACCACCCAATTCTGTTGGTA